GAAAATGCCACCCTCGAAACCTACACCAGGCTGTTGGCACCAATGGACGGTATTGTCGCTAGGCTATAACAATATCAATAAACGATGATGTTACTATGGCGCCTAAGACGAACGCGTTCGATGGAAGAGTCAATATGAACGATAGTTGCCAATGCATCGAGGCAGGCGAGAAAAATCGCTCTCGTCAAAGGTGCAGAAGGGGGAGGTCCGCCCAGACACACGCGCTGAAACATGATCAATGAAGAGGCGTATCGCGCAAAACAACGAACCGTGCGCCCGTTAATTTGCTCCCCAACTCCTCTCACGATACCCATGACAGTGACGACGAGGTCATCTCCGTCACTAACACGCACAAAACGACGAGTGAATCCATGGGAACCTTTTGGTTCCAATGTACCCAAGTAAAATTCCGAATTGAGAGTAACCTTGTCGACGGTAGGCGGGGGCCATGCGCTCACACCCATGCACGACCGCAATATAAGTATATTTGCAGTGAGGGGCACAAGAAGCTATGTACTTAACCCTAAACACGATTAGTCGGATGATCTGTGGTCGCGCTGAATACAGGATTTGTCTGCCACCAACTAATGGACGTGAGACAGGAAGACACATTAAGGGATGAACACTCACGAATGAATACTTGAGCGTACGCAATCGGCCATTTCCAGGGGCGTGTCGCAAGGTTCGACAGCTCCCTGAACTCGCAAGAGGACCAATACATCCCCATGAATTAATCGCGTGCGTTGGCAACCGTCATCGTGAAACGCAGCGTTGACTGCGCCAGTGCCATCGCCCGTTTCAAAGAAAGCGATGACTTCTTGATCGAGGATACCTTGCAGGGGCAGGCGATGAATGTGAGGGTTGTCAAAGACCACCCCTCCACATATTGAGCTCGTGGGTTGGAACAAGGAGAAGTCGTGGAAGTCAGATGCTCGATAGCCGATCCACAGAGAGGTGCGCAGGTCGTCAAAAGACCGGAAGTCGTGCGAATGAAAAACATGATCGTCGAGCGGGACCGGAACTTGTAGAGCGTGGTCGATGTTAACGGCGAACAGCAAACCCTTGTAAATTCGTTTGAAAGGCTATCAAGAGTCAGAACGAGTACAGTCTTTCCGGCAGCGCACTGACCGGTGAGCGGCGCCAAACCAGTGATGCACGCGACCGAATCACAGCCTCTCTCCCAGCCCAGCCAACCATAGGAAGCACTTGTTCATCGTTGCGAGCGGGGCGAAGGGAGGCGATAGGGAAATTGAAGGTCTCACAATCGATATTGACGCATAGATCGAGGACCCACGACAAGCCGCATGTGCTGCTCGAGAAGCGATTTGAGGCATCGACACCAATTGGATCAAGTTGAAGACCGCCAGCGCGGAGGCGGTAAAGGAAAGAAGCAACGCCTCGGCCATGTCGCAGTCGCCGAGGCTCCCCCACACACCTAACCAGAGCAAGCTTCGGGTTAGTTGGGGAGCTCCACAACGCATGGCGAACCCGGAACCCTTTGCCCTTCCAAGTATAAACAGTAGCCACTCGGTCGTATTTCGGGTCGCCATTTCCGATGCGCCCGGCCTTCCAGATGGACCTCCGAACTTTCCAAGGTTCAGGATACACGAAAACGAGGCTGGTGCTGCTTATGATGGACATTCCAGCGGTCGTTTCGGCGCCGAGCAACGTACGATAGACATTGACATCGTTTGTAACAGTCAGCGTCAGACGACGGCCAGAAGGAGTGAAGAAGATGGTGGTCGTGTTATACCAGTGGGAAGGCGCCGCATAGGCCGAAATGGGAAAGTCATTCGCGTCAGCACATTCCATAGGAAGGGCCATCGGGATGTGAGACGAGACCTGCCGGGATTTATAACGCAGCCCATCCAACACTGCCGCAACAGCCGGGGCGTTGGCCGACGTTGCGAGCATGTTCAAGTCAAAGGGAAATCGGCGAGTGCGAGCGAGGGCCACATGAGGGACAATAGAACCCACTAGACCGCCCGATGCAGCATCCAAAGCCGACCACAACTGCCCTTCTGTCTCTGGAGGAATGAACTTGTTGACAACAAGGGACACGCGTTGTTGAATAGTATAACCAGCTTGGGCGCGACAATTTGGCTGGGAATGTCCGTAGGCGAAGATGTCGAACACATCGAGGTGACCCAAGACGAGGTTCACCGTTTCCAAGGGCAGAGTATCCATAGAGCAGTACGTGAAGTATGTTAGACAGGTTGGGAAGCAGCTACATACGACGTAATATAAGTGAGTACCTCAACCCCGTAAAGCTTACAAAGGCGATTGATACATAAACCACCCAGACGCCATCGCAGATTTCGACGCATCCCTATATCGATAGGGGGGGCGCTATCGTCAAACACCCAGACAGCGATCCCCTTTGCGTTTCGGAGAGGGGCGCCAGAGACGGGGGCACTCGACACCGCACTTCCGAACCAACCCGCTGTTGTTACGGATGACCCTGACACGGATATAGCGACTTGAAATCCGGTCGCTTCGATCATCGTCGAACCACGTGTCGCGACCAGCTGCAGACCAACCCGGTAAAGCGAGCCCAGCTTTTGTCAGATTGGGGTAGAAGCTCCACACAGCCCCAGGCACCAGAATGTTCATGTCGCAAGTCAGAGGAGACGCAAACAGACAGGGGAGGATTGACGCTGACAAAGTCTCCACCAATACGACTGTTTTATCCTAATGGGAGCGACCAATGAGCAACCATAGTGAAGCGGTAGAACGCATACCTTGGCTTTCAGGTATCTTATGCCCGTGCAATGCCCTTCCAAACGCGGGGGTGGCACATCGAAGGAGTATTCGCGATAACCCAAGTTCCTGATCAACCAATACATCCATCCGCGATTGAACGAGGCGGGAACCAATACATGGACAGTTGAGAAACGACAGCAATCGTCTCTGTCCGGAGCCTGGGACAGTAACCACAGAGGCAAACTACCGTAAACGGCTGCGCCGGTCGCTGCACAGAGTTCGTCGAATACGCCGTAGTCGAATATGCCGTTGAGACTCTTCTCCATACTAAAAAAGCGGGCGAGATGAGCACGAGTCCTCTTCTTCAACCATGTTTTTCGCAAGAGTTCGCAATTGTCGGCTGACCATTAGCCAGGAGAGTATATCGGTCCAAACAGAGTGTATGAAGACCAATTCCAACACCTTGTACGGTTGAGCGAGTCGATGCATTGGGATCTGCTGAGTACAAGGAAAGGTTTAAAAACCGACTAGCACAGACAAGTCTCTCCCGATCGCAGGACCCGTTACAGCACTGGATCGGATTTGAGCAATACAACGCTTCAAATGGCGAGGCACGTACTATTTCACCAACTCGATCGCCATGGACACGTCCTCCGATGTCATATTGCCAATGCCCGTAGTTCCTGAATCGGCCCTCGCCACCAACACATTGCCCCTCCACCTGGGGGCCCAGGGTACCAGATTCGCGATCGTGTCGTTGAAATTGTGAATGGAATCGTCAATGGGCCACATACGGCGAGGCTGAGGGGCGCAATAGATAGTATAGGCGTAGGGCAGAATAGAACCGTTCCAGCGCTCGATAACCAGGGTAGTAGAGTCCAAATCGAGTGATGATGCGTTGCGACGACACCCCGGTGAAATCCAATGGGTAATATCGAGGTCGCTTGTACAGTATTCGGCTCCCGTACCAGGAAATAGCGGCACGGACACCTCGCACACTTCGTGTACCGCGGCCGTAAAGAGCATCGCACTGAAGTGCGTGGGGTGTGGAGAGGCAGGCAGAATATCGACGTCATGCGCCATAGCAGCGGCCAATGAACGATTAATGTGCTGGTGAACGATATCGCGGTTTTCCACGCTGTAGACGGGCAGCAATTCTGACTGGGGCATGGCAAGAAGTTCTCAGACACGTGATCAACACGCGTCACCCAAACTGGAAGACACTGCCAGCGAACTACGCTGTGAGTTAACCCGCACAGCCAGGTGCTTCAGATTATAAGATAAACTAACTGAACGATACATTCCCAGAAGTAAAAGTACCTAAACGATTCGCAAAGTCAATGCATGGTCCCGGATGTTATCGAGTTCCAGCAGCTGGCCATGGTCGAGTCCAGTTCCGTGGAGTTGACCCTGTCTTGCGGTGACTGCGTCTTTTGGACGGACCGGCTTGAAAACTGACGGCCGTATAAAGAACTCCTGCAACAGTCAATCAGAGAGAAACAAACTAGCGAAACAACTATCGACGCACACGGTCCGGCTCAGCGTAATAATCCCAAAGAAAAGTGTGCAGGGTGCATTCCACAGCAACCACGGTGGCCGCAGGGTACGGAAATCCTCGACCGGTGCGCGGTCCATGCAACGGGCGGTATTCATCGGCGGAACAATGCCAGTAGTGTCGACAATCTTCGCCCAACTGCAGCAAGATTTCCCCTCCCACTACCCAGTCGATGACGCTGGCGACCTCCGTTTCTTCAGCGACGCCTCACGCAATCTTGACACTCACCACATGAGAGTCGCGGTCTTCTTGTTCCACCAGATAGGATATAATATCCAGGGCCTTTATCTGGCGACGCCATAGTCGATCGAAAGCAGTAGCATCCCAACCGTGAGAGGTCCAGTCGGGTTTGCGCAAGCGCAAGTTCAGCCACTGCCCATTGCGCTCCTTCAAAATTGATTAGTGACTACTAGCCGCACGAGCACAACTTACCGGGCTACCCACCACCTCACCCATTAACACGAACCGAGTAGCGTCTTGGGGTCCAACGAGGAACGGTGCGGCACAAAAAGCGTTCGCGTTGAAGTTGGGATAACCCGCTTGGAAGCAATTCTCCTGGTAATCTGCTGCACCCACCCAGGCAGATCCGTGAACCAACAGGGCGGACAGACAATGTGCGGGTTCCATGGAGCAATCGGGCAGCAAGATGTTCGCAGGTGGTTTGACGGCAAGAGTCAGGCTCGTCAGTGCAGACATTGTGGAATGAGCGATCCCCGGTAACACAGTAACGGCCCCTTTCAGGATGGAGACACATCTAGCGCACCTAACGAAAGTGGAGTTGCTGACGCTCCTCCGAGACATCGTCGCGCCTATTCCCTCAAGAGCACAAAAGAATCGAGGGACCCTGATTGCGTACCTGGAGACTCACAGCGAACAAGACCAGCAAGCAATCATCGTAGCTGCTGGGAAGACGGCGACACGAAAGCGACCGGCTGCCCCAGTGGACCATCCCCCGAAGCGACAACGAACCAACATTGTGCAAGAGCGATTCCCGCAAGAGGTCGACATTGAATCGCCGCAAGAAGAGCGTATCGAAGCGGCTCAGGTGGCACAACCGAGGCGGCTTATATCTGCGAATGTTGGAGATGAGTTCATGCGCGTACCCGCTGCTACAGTAGTGGAAGATTGTATTTCGCGGTAAGTGCTGTATATATCCTACTTTACTGGACTACTACTGAAGAAACTCTAGCGTCATTGACAGAACTGGTAACGCCGCCCTCAAGAAGGCAGTATGTGTCTGCTGTGCCCGACGAGTGTTTGCCAGACAGACTACGTCGCTCGATATAACGGAAATCCCCAACAAAGTCGTGCTCCAACCCACACACCCACACCCTTCGCACAATCTATATGAAGGTTGTCTTATTCACCCCCAACCCGGTCCGGTCCAAAACATATGCGACAAGTGCTACGGAGAACTGCGTAAAGCTAAGAGACCGCAGCTCTCGCTTGCCAACAACATGTGGATTGGCAAGGTACCTGTCCAACTAGAGGTACTGAGTCTAGCTGAGCGTCTGCTAATTTCTTTGCATTTCCCGGCTTGTTATATCATTAAACTATATGCGAGAAGGATGGGTCGGAACTCTAGTGCAGACCACATGAACCACGGCTTGCGAGGGAACGTATCATCGGTTAGTCATAAGTCGTCCGCCGAATATTTTTAACGTGATACACAGTATAAACTCAACCAAGATCGGATCGCGGCTATGGTGTCCGGAACCATCATGCCACAACCACCGGAAATCCTGGCCGCAACCATCGGTATCACCTTTGTGGGAGGAAAGAATCGACCCCTTCCCGTTTACCCTAAGCAAGTCCAGGTCAATCGGTTCCGTGTTCACGACGCGTTGCTCTGGCTTAAGCAACACAATCCTCTATACGGGGCAATATCCATCTCTGAGGAAACCCTGGTCCAACTCCCGGAATCCGGGGTACCGGACGAGATTGCGAACAACGTGCGGTATTCCGAAAATATAGAGGCAGTAGATCGAGAGCATCAAAACTATGTGCGACACGATGATGATAGCGATGATGACATGGAGCAGATGGATGAGGGTCAAATATTCCAACAGGGTCCCAGTGGGCCAGCAGGTAAGTCGCATTATGCGCATAGTACATCACATTGAATCATTCGCAAGTGCCGCGTAACCATGTAACTCTTGAAGACTGCGAATCTTCAGGCGATGAGGATTTTGGTGGGCGATCTCGTCAAATTACCAGGCGGCAGTACTAATGTCGAGTAGATCCTGAAGTCATTCCACTGCAAACTAGTGGCGTTCTCGATACCACAGGCGATGAGATCCCAGACCACGAAATGTTCCAGCACGCCGCTACAAACGCAGCTGGTATCATCAGAGAACGAGAATTCTTTGTACGACGAAGCCGCGCATATGTCAACGAGTACGGGCGGGAAGATGGCCAAGGAAATCCCACCGATGGGGGAGTGGAAAATCCTAACCACTTGCTCGGGGCGTTTCCGACACTCTTCCCCTATGGGATGGGAGGCTTGGAAGTAGATCGTGAAACGAAGGTGCCATACGAAAGCCATATTAGATGGGCTCTCCAGTACGACGATGGGCGATTTCGAAAGGACATATACTTTATGTTCCAGGCGTTCGGCGTCATACAGAAGCGGCAAATATGTCGCGCCGCGAGCATACACATCAAACGGAGCTCATTCTTTACCCATAAGCTTTCGTTCTTACTCATGACTCCGGCCGACCTCATGAAAGAGCTAGTGAGGAGGAGGGCAAGAATCAGAAGATAAGTAACCCCGTGGTTCGCTCCTTGCGGAAGCAACTTACCTCGGTCCGGGCTAAAGTGGATGGCACAGACGAGAGCAGAGTTGCCATCCGAGCTCAAATTTGGGGGTTAACAATCAAATTCAATCCGCCTACGATATGGGTTACTTTCAACCCGTCGGATATCGGCGACCCAATCGCACAAGTTCTTGCTGGGCAGGAGATCGACCTGGACAACTTCCTGTCTACGGACGGACCGAGCCGAGATCACCGGGAACGCATCATCGCCGACGACCCATTCGCGTCTGCGGAATTCTTCCATCTCCTGGTCAATACTGTGCTCGAAGAGCTGTTTGGCATAAAAATCCTTACTCAAGGGGGCATTCAGAGACGCGAGGGAATTGTTGGTGTCGTCAACGCCTATGTAGCAACGGTCGAGTCGCAAGCGAGGGGATCTCTGCACCTACATGCATTATTTTGGTTATCTGGGGCTCCGACTGCAGAGAAGATGAAAGACGCGCTTCTATCCGAAAGTTTCCGAACAAGGGTCAAAATCTTCATAGAACATACCATTAAAGCGCATCTCAGCGACGACGATCGCGCAATGATGGGAACGCCGAGAACATACGGTATAGCGTATTCGAGACCAGAAGACCCTCGAAAGCCACACTACGAACGTCGCATGCAGGAAGCCGAGCGCAAAATCGTGCGAGCAGTTCAAACGCATGGAGACTGCACGGTCAAGACATGCCTGAAGCAGCGTAAGGGCATGTTGGTTTGCAAACGGCGTGCGCCTTGGCCCGAAGCGGCGGACAGCTGGGTTGACGAAAACGGCAATTGGGGGCCCAAACGATCTTACGGCCGTCTTAACGGGTGGAACCCGCCTTTACTTCAAGTTGGTCGGTGCAATCAAGATATGAAGCTCATCACAAACGGAGCAGAAACACGCGACATCGCATTCTACATCACCCTTTATATAGCGAAGAAGCAAATACAAGCTTTCAACGCATCGGCACTGCTCGCCAAGGGGCTAGAATTACATCAAAAGTTGTCCGCTCGACAACAAAAGGCGAAGGACGAGAATAAACTTCTGCTACAGCGATGTGCGAACACACTGACGCGGCAACAAGAACTCAGTGGACCAGAGGTCGTCAGCTACCTAATGAATTGGGGAGACCGCTACATATCCCACCAATTTGTTAAGATATACTGGGACGAAGTTACGTGGGCAATCAGGACTGCCTATCCGGGTATTGCGATGGCGAGGTATTCGAACAAGTTTATATAGAACTGAAGATCAGCTTAACACCTTGTAGGATGACGGCGGAAGACGTACATCACGAAATGACCGAGGGTGATGAAATTACGGTTAGTGCCAACGACCATTGGAGCATAATCTGATGAAGAACTGTAGGAGCCTCCTGCGAGAGTCCGATATGTAGACGGTAAACTCGAAATAAAGGACCAGATGAAAGAGTATGCGGACAGAGGGACGGAGCTAGACGAGATGAACTTGTACGACTATTTCACGCTGACATATCACACGAAGGACGGCATCGACAACGAGGAAGACGATGCGCCAGACGACGGTGACGAAGATGTCCATCCACGTGAGTTACTATTAACTGCAATGCGTCATATCTCAAACTATTCAGAACCCAAGAGGCGTGGCCGCCGCCGAAACCGCAGGGTGGCGTATTTGGAGAGATCCGAACGCAAGGGCTGTCGCGTGTTTCGTGGAAACAACATGGAAACAGTGCTACACTTTATAGGCAAATGGTTCCCTAGCAGAAAAGACGGGAACTCAGCATATTATGCTGCGCAGGTTCTAGCACTTCTCAAGCCCTGGAGGACGTTGCGGGACCTACAGTCGATATGGCCTACGATGGAGGCTGCATTGCAAAGTTTTCTAATCGGAGCTTGCGACGAAACACATCGCATCATTGAAAATATCGAGTACTTCCATCAATGCAGCGACAGTGCACGAGCCAGACGCGATCAGGAAAGCACACAGCCTGGATCGGGAGGATACTACCGCGCGGAAGGAGACGGGTCGGAGGGAATGAGTGGTGCCAACCCTGAAGAAGAAATCGCTTTCACGGAAGAGGACGTAGAACGGGCTAGAGCTGCTCGGTATGCCGCACGAGAAGTGGTCTACGGTCAACGAGCGTTACTCATAGCGCGGGAGCGTGGTATTTTCCGAGAGCTGCCAACAGATACGGGGGAGCGGATGGGTGTTGCACAGGCCACGCGACGGGAAACGGAAATGTTTGAACAATGGGGCCGGGAAGTGGCGGCTATGACGCGACAAAACAGAGGGCAAGTCGAAAGACCTCTGGAGCTCAATCCCGACATCGGCGACGTATCTGTACCCCGGAGGGCGGACGAAGCTCCCGATGTTATCCCAGTTCCTCGAGAGGAGATGCCAGCTACGGAAGCGTTGGCGGCGGTCGTGTCCTCACTAAACCGGGAACAAAGACGCGCATACGACAATAATAGAAGATCATTTAGCTCGCACCATTGCGGGAGCCAACCCGAAACAATTGCTGATGATCATATGCGGGGAGGGTGGAACTGGTAAAACGGTGCTCATCAATGCCGTTTCCCAACTGTTCGACTGTTACCATAAGTCGGAATGGCTGGCCAAGACAGCCACTACCGGGCGTAGCCGCAAGCCTGTCGCGCGGCCAGACCACACACAATTGGGCAGCAATACCGGTTGGTAACCCCACGGGCACTTCGGAAAAGACGTTGGAAAAGAGGCGACGCAATATACTTCCCGCCAAGTATGTTACAGTGGACGAATACTCAATGCTGACATCAAAAATGTTGCTGAAGCTATCGAATATACTCTGGCAAACCGAGTCGTTGGCTGGGAACACCTCCGTCGATAAAGACTTTGGAGGGAAGAATATGATACTCCTGGGCGATCCACATCAATTCCCGCCAGTAAATGCAAGCAGTCACGCGTTGTATTGCGAAGCACACGACGATAACACGGATGGAGGATTTGGGGTGCAGTTATATCGCCGATTCGACACGGTGGTGATGTTGACCGAACAAATGCGCATGCGTGATCCATTATGGATGAGTATACTACGACGACTCCGAACCGGAAGTTGCACTGCTGAAGACATTCAAGTCGTGAGATCGTTGATGGTTGACGACCCTCGGAACAGAGATATGGATTGGAGCGCTGATCCCTGGCGGGATGCGATGTTAGTGACGCCTCGACATGGTGCGAGAGTGGCTTGGAATGAAGCAGCAGTAGAGCGACACGCGTCGGAGACGAAACGCAAGACTTACATCGCGAGAGCGGAGGACTATGCTTATGTAGCCAACAGGCCACCCAATCTCCGTGAACGGGTTATCATCGCAAGCCTCACTAATAAGCAGTCCGGCCGGTTGGATGAAGAGGTGCAGATTGTTGTAGGGATGCGAGCGATGGTCATGTTCAATATCGCAACAGAGGCGGACCTCGCCAACGGAACACGGGGCACCATTGTAGATATCCGACTCGACATGCGAGAACCGATGCCGCTCGTAGAGGACGGCAATGGTCGGGTGATTTTGAAATACCCGCCAGTGGTAGTGTTCTTCAAACCTGAAAGCAGCTCATTCGGCAGATTCAGGGATCTCGAGGAAGGTGTACTGCCGATTGTACCTTCGACAGCGACGTTCACGGTCAAGGGTAAACCACGACCCGATACCAAAATCCGGCGCCGCCAGTATGCGATGACACCTGGGTACGCATTTACCGACTATAAATCTCAAGGCCAGACATTGGAATATGTTATTATTGACCTGCAAAGCCCACCTAGTGGTAAGCTAACGCCTTTCAGCGCGTACGTAGCGCTTTCGAGGAGTAGGGGCAGGGACAACATCCGTATATTGCGAGGATTCGACACGGATTTATTCACGACGCATCCTTCTGCGATGCTCAAAATTGAGGATGTTCGACTCGCCCGATTACATACCGAAACAGAGAAGAATTGGGAAGCTCGTCAAAAGAACCGCCGGTAGTAACATTTGTATTTGTATTTAGGAGTAAGAGACATTCTTAAGGGTTGCACAGGCCATACAGGAGGGTATGTCTAACATTCGACTCCCATCTGAAGTCCAATCTGCGCTGCGGGGGTCGAGCCAGTCCGTTAAAGTAAGCTGTTGAATGGTAGATGAGGAGCACGAGTTGGCTAATATCGTATTTAGAGGGCCGCTTCCCGCGCTCTAGCAAAAGAATCAACATGGGAGGATGCACAGGAGCTGTACGGGAGGGTGAAGTTTACCGAGTTGTCTTGGACACGCCTGCTACCGCTCACGCTCAGGTTGCTAGATGAAGCAAGGCTCCCTGCAGAGAACAAGTCAGAGGAACAGATCAAGGCTTGCACGGAAATAGCTTGGTGGATTGTATCCGCATTGGCAAACATGGACTTGACAGTGGTTTCGACGCCGTGGCAGGGAACGATATGGCCGAAACTTTTCCCTTGGCTAGTGATGCTCTCCGATACCAACGCAGAGGCAATAATGGGAACGGAAGCTACGGAGGCGTCTATCGCTTGCCTCGCCGCAATGTGTCATTTCGCGGTCACGGATGCGGCCAGCGCTTCAGCAATCGCAACGCCCGGCTGTCTGCGGTTAATCGTTGCGAGCTGGAAAAGATGCTGTTTACCCAAGAATCGGGAGAAGCAAATAACCGGCTATGCACTCGGAACTGTGTATCATTTGCTTATGAAGGCAGACACTGCCCCGACCAGCGAAATTATCGAGGCTTGCGGACTAAGAGCGAATGATATCGCGCAGATGACGAGTCACACGTTAGAGACAGCGCGCAGGAACTGGGGCGGAAACATCGTACCCTTCTTCATCCTAGCGACGACGACATTCTGGATTGCATGTGACAGGTCGCTCGACTCAATCGACCTGAGACGAGCGTGGGTCAAACGAGGGACGTTGTCGGAGACATGTCGAGTGCTGGACCACATCGTGAACTCGAATTACAACTCGCAAGTTGGGTTAGCGTTGGTCAAACTGATTCATCGAATGACTTGGAAAACGGGTGCGGGTGCATGGGCCATCGCTATTGAGGGAGGCATTATTGAAAGCACCGCCATGTTGTTGGACCGGAGTAACGACAGAGAGCGTAAGAAGACTCTCGAGCTAGCGCGGGCAATATTGTTCGGCGGGGTAGGGATGGTACTGTGGGACACGAGAGTGGTTGATGCGTTGAGGAACAGAATGACTTCTTTCAGGAAGGCGACAATGCTTCCGGTTTTCGCTGTCACAGAATCTACTTGCCAATGGCAGGCGTTGTGGGAAGAGTTCGCGGGTCGCACGGTCCGTTACCATTTGTTGATGGGCGAGGAGCGGCGAAGGATGTGTGCAAAGGTAAAAATCATATCAACGAGCTTCAAACATCTAACGCAGTCAAGTGCGGTATCATAGTGGAAGGCAGTGGACTGAAACGGTGTGGGGGATGTATATGCACCTACTATTGCGACAAGGCGTGTCAACGCAATGATTGGAAACGACACAAAGAAGAGTGCGCGGCAAGAGCACAAAACAGAGCATGTGAGTACATTCGTTTTGAATGGAGCCACGACTGATTATTTACAGACGCTCAGGACATGGGTCTGAACTCCGAATCAAGGGAATTCATTCGACGTGTCATGGCATTTGATCTTCGTGCGATACCAGACAAAGTTAGGTCAGATGTCATACGACAAGCGCGAGGAGAGGATGTGGTACTGGTCCACGACTACCGGAGCAGCATTATCATAATCGACGTAGCCGACACCGACTCGTGTATGAGGGAGGGCCTCTTTGAAAGTGCAGGGGGGCAGACCCGCAAATGCGGAAGTACAGCAGGTCGGTGACCGGGTGGGACTGGACATAGTTAAGCTGCCGACACCAGAGGGCGATTGCGTGTGGATGGTCCCCAGATATAGCACACAAGAGATGAATCTCAACTGGTGGAGGACATTGGACGACGAGAAGGTCGAGACAATTTTTCATTAGAATGATGGATATTGTTTGGTACTATTTGGAAAAATCACATCTGATGGGAATTATGACCGAGTGGGACCTTGCAAAGCAAGGTGAAGCAAGGTAATATTGTCGGCGCAAATCGCAAGAATACGGTCAAGCTGCCATGGCTTTGGATCAACACTCAAGCGGAGATGTTGTATTGGTGTTTGACTATCGGCAGGTCGCGCCCTGGCGCCCTGCATTGAAGTGTTGGTAGCGGACCGGTCTAAACCCTTGTTCGGGCTACAGTCTGGGTTTGTTCATGATTCGGATTTCCTCGCTCGGAAAGCTGGTGTGGCGCTAGATTTTGTCGTGATTCCAACGCAATTCGGAGAGTTCTACTGGGGGTTGCTGCGGTACAACTCTGTGCAGATGGATCGCGCTTGGTGGGCATCCGTAGATGAGGCTAAGTGGGCTACGGTTTTTTACTGAAGTTTGTCCTGTTTATAATAATACAAGTACTCGTGTTTGCCATTTATTGGCCTTATACTCAAGTGAAATAGTGGCTAAAACAATTGAATGATATGTGGAGCGGAAGACCAATAGAAAGAAAGAAATCCTCAGGCCAACAGATTTTTCAAGACGGTCGAAATTTCGACGCAGCAAGTGTAATTCTGCATCCAATACACATCCATGTCGCTATCGAATGGTCCGCACGGTCTACGGCCCCTCCTCATCTGTCGCCTTTATTCTTTCTTCTGTGACCCAATCAGCTGAGGCAAGAATTGCGAAAGCATAACCACACACCGGAGGGCCAAACAGGGAGCTGAAACCGAGACTTCCGAGGTCGACATGGAAGCCCGCGCCCTCGTCTGGGTGGTCACTCAAGACTTGACGCGGCGCAGGGGACGATGGTTTCTAAACAAGAGTTCACAACCAACAAGAATCACGTCAACGAGAGCGATAAGTACCGAGCCAAACAAGGAGCTGAAGCCGAGACTCCCGAGGTCGACGTGGAAGCCCGCGCCGTCCTCTGGGTGGTCGCTCAAAACTTGTCGAGGATTTTTCTGGGGGCGGATGTCAAAGACTGCTGGTACAGCAAGAAGCACGACTCACCGATCCAAAGAGCGAGCTAAAGCCGAGACTGCCAAGGTCTACGTGGAAGCCTGCACCTTCATCGGGGTGGTCGCTGAGGGGGGCCGCGGGCACAGTGTCGCGGGCGAAAATGGGGTGGGCGGTCACCGAGGCGGAGAGTGAAGCAAGGATGGCGAAAAGAAAAGTCTTGGGCTGCATCACGTCGAATGAAAGAGGAGAGACTGGAAGGAAAAGGCTCGCACTGCGAGATGGAAGACGAAGGCAACGACCAGCTTGATGTCAATGATTGGTCAGCCGCTTGTTGGTTGTATCATTGTCAACACCCGAACCGATCATCGAAGAATTTTGAGTAGCTCCTCGTCGGACTCCCCGTCTCGAGAACGAAGAGATAGCGGCAGCAACAAATACAAGCTTGACGTTGATGCCATCGGACGCTGCAACAGGAAAACTCTCCGGCTTTCCTCGCCAAAAATGGTGGACACATTCTGTCGCTGGCACGTAAGTTGCCTCATTTAAATCCTCGATGTTAGTCCTGATTCACCATCCTACAGAGTTGCAGGGCTGGTTTCTATCGCGCTGACTGCTCCATTCGACGTAGTGAAAACTCGATTCCAGTCCTCCATGGTTCAGCGACATCCCATCTCAGCTTCCTTCCCGGGCATGTGGTCATATCATATCCTCCAAACTACCAACGTCATGCATGATATTTACCACGTCGAGGGCTGGCGTGGCCTCGGACCAAGTCTCTCGGGTGTCGTCCCTTCGATGGCACTTAAATTTTATGTCTACGGCAATTCGAAACGTCTCGGAGCGCATGCACTAGACTGCGGAGAGGATTCGTCTTTGGTCCACGCGCTGGCTGCTGTTGCAGCATCCATAACCGTTTCGACGGTGATGAACCCAATCTTTCTCATCAAGACAAGGCTGCAGCTCGACGTTCGGACACAAGCGACTGGCGATACGGCTCGACGATACGCAGACAGTCTCAACTGTGTCCGTAAAATTCTCCAACGAGAGGGCGTTCTTGGTCTGTACCAAGGCCTGGGCGCAAGCTATCTAGGCGCGGTCGAGACAGTGCTCCATCTGGCTCTCTACGAACAGCTGAAGAAGTTATTTCGCCCAACGGCGATTGGGCCCAATGCGCAGAACGATGGAACCTGGGGCCATGCAGTTAAAACCTGGGTTGGTACGAGCGGGGCTGCGGGATCTGCAAAGCTAGCAGCGGTTCTAGTAGCATACCCTCATGAGTCATGAGGTCCGACCTGCGCTTCTACCCATCGTCTCCTGACTAATGTTACCGCAGGTGCTGAGGACGAGGCTACGACAAGCCCCTTCAGCGAATGGGACCCGCAAATACGTCGGCCTTGTGCAGTGTTTCCGGTTGGTAAGGGCAGAGGAGGGCTTAGCGGGGCTGTATGGTGGCATAACACCGTATCTGATGCGCTCCGTTCCGTGTACGAGTACGTGCTGAGCCTTCTCAATTATGATATCACTGACTCGCAGTAATATACATCTATCTATAATCCACTCCAATTTGTTGCAATTGTATGTAAGTATCATACATTCTTGCACATATTCTTATCCTACTGTCTTCACCATACTCCGTAGAGGACACTTTCCCTCCCTAATAGTTTCTAGCCCAAAACACTTTGTCAACAGCAATACTTATTGATGTTCTAAACTCGAACTTGAACCTTTTAGTCGAACTTGCCAGTGGATCGCGAATTTCCAGGCAATACTAGCTCTTCTGAATCTGTAACCGCGCCGAGCCATGCACTTAGCATTCAACCAATCGCAATCAAGCGCAACGCGCAAACGGCTCACCAATCAGAATCCGTTGAATAAAGAAGACGGAGACTCTGTCACACTGCACCGCTTGTCGATGACCTGTCCCCTGCCACCACCTGCCACCCTCTCCCCAACCTCCCCCGAGTCGTCGCCACCGCTCAAGTTTAGTATACCCTGGATCTCATTCTAGTGCCAGCATCTCAAGACTCATCTCTGCCACGACGACCTCGATGGGTATAGCATTCACCTCCGAGTCCAGCTACGTATACAAACTTGAGTATAAGGCCAATAAATGGCAAACACGAGTACTTGTATTATTATAAACAGGACAAACTTCAGTAAAAAACCGTAGCCCACTTAGCCTCATCTACGGATGCCCACCAAGCGCGATCCATCTGCACAGAGTTGTACCGCAGCAACCCCCAGTAGAACTCTCCGAATTGCGTTGGAATCACGACAAAATCTAGCGCCACACCAGCTTTCCGAGCGAGGAAATCCGAATCATGAACAAACCCAGACTGTAGCCCGAACAAGGGTTTAGACCGGTCCGCTACCAACACTTCAATGCAGGGCGCCAGGGCGCGACCTGCCGATAGTCAAACACCAATACAACATCTCCGCTTGAGTGTTGATCCAAAGCCATGGCAGCTTGACCGTATTCTTGCGATTTGCGCCGACAATATCGTAACGTACCTGCAAATGGACGACAAGCAGTGAGTCATCAATCAGCATACAAAAACATAGACTCACGCACAGTCCAGACTGGTCATTAGGGACCCCACCGCGTTCAAAAAGAAAGATGTCATTGAAGTAGGCTTCACTCTGCAGACCTATCGGACCTTCTCGCCTGAGTTAGGTCCTCACTACAAATGTGAAGTGGTGTTGCGAAGCTTGGTAAACCTTGACGGGACATTTTCCAAAGTGAAATTGAATTTTTTTCGAGACAGACGACTCACCACTGCTGGTAGCAAGTCGCAGCAGCTAAACGAGCCGCATTGAAGCGCAAAGTCCACGAAGTCTCAAGCGCAAAAGCTGAGGAAAAACGCTGGAAGCGGATGCGAAGAAACGCTAACCCGATAGCTGCGCGTTTTACTGGTAAAGGGAAGGGGAAGGAGTTGGCCGTCGACAGCGAGTCTGACGAAGGGCAACCAGCGACGAGAATGAAGCTTGAAGGGCTGCATTTGATTCAGAATGTACAGAAAACTGATTGATATTCTTATACTTACAATACCCAATGTCGTTGAATTGTGCGCAGCACGGATAGATTGAAGGAAAGGTGAAGAGAAGGAACGGCGAGTAAAGCTGAAATGCAGGAAAGAAAGATTCGAAGTGACGTGGGACGGTTACATAATCTGCTGAGGTAACATCCTTGGACAGCAATACGACTAAGTCGGAAAACCCTTCAATTTCGAGTCACAAAAAAAGCTGTAGGGTTAGGGTTGAGACTACAAATTTCATTACAAAAATAGAATCTCTCAAGGGGAAAGATCGAGGTCGTGAAACGCGGACGACAGATATTGATAGACGATTACATAAGTACTCGTAACCTGAGCCAGGAAGGAGGAGTGGAGTTGCTCACGCGGAGAGGAAAGTGTCATTGTTGACTCACACATTCCAGGCTTGACCACAACCGAAGCATTTCTGTCTGTTGGTGCCACTAGCCTGAGGGCGTGGAAGCGCCCGATGTATTGCCCCGACAGGAACTACTCTCTCAATTTCCTCTTCCATTCACGAAGCGCAACTCAAACCCAAGGCTAATGGTTGATAACAAACTCTCCATGAGTCCATCATCAGGTCGCTCATTGCAGATTCCGCACCTCAGGTTTCTACTTCCTTGGAGGATCGGTAAGAGAGCGATCAACATCATGACGATTGGACCAAATGCCCGTCCGACTCTTCTTCGACTGCATCGACTTAGACGCGACGAAGGGAGAATTTAAGCTTGAGGATCGTCGGAGTCGCGGCCACCGTGACCGCCTTAGCCCAAACAATTTTGCCGCTGGTGAGCTGCCTGAGTGAAGCAAGACCTCCGGTCCTCCACGAAACAATCCGAATTCATTGACAAGCTAGTCAAGAATGGTCTGATAATGCATACTAGTACTCGAATGAGAACACACAGTTCTGAGAGTCGCATCGCAGGGCGAAGATCATAATACCTGAAGTCTTCCATTCAATATATGTACAGTCTATCGTGAGGACATTACATAATGGCTATATATGTGAAATCATCGTCAAGGTCAATCACCAACCCAACGCTTCTTCGAAAAACGCTATCTTGTCCCCATCTGCGAGACTGCCAATGGACCGCACGACCTCATACCGAACGGCATCATTCAAACCCGCCGGTCCACATACAAAGAAAGCAATCCTGCCATCCGCAGCAGCCTGAATTTCCGCGAAAACATACTCGGCAACAACAGGCCGCCCGTCCGTGATGCCCTTGGAAGCGATTTCATCATCCGAGTCCGATTCTTGCGACTGCTCAGCAGACGAATGGAACAGCTGTAGTTCTACAGTGCTTTCCAGATTGGCTAGGCGGAGATGTCGCTGAATCTCTCGGAGAAAGCCAAGTTGGCGGGCAATGAAAAGCAGGACAAGGCGTTTGGTCGAGCCCGGATCGGCAGCATGAGCGTGGACATACGATAGCGTAGGGCCAACACCGACACCGCCGGCGACGAGGATGACTGTCTCATAGGAGTTGAGAGGGCGAGCTTGGCCATAAGGTCCCTCAAGAAGACAAGTTAGCCGTGTCGGTTTGGAGTTCTGGCGAACGATTGCCGCAAGATTTCCCGTCTCCCCCTTCTCTGCCAGCATATACATTGTCAATTCGGACTTCGACTTCCCTCCTTCCTCGTCAGAACCGGTTTTCGTCCAACCAGCGATCGAAATGGGGTGGTTTTGCCAAAACATGATGCCGATCGTAGGGAAGTAGAGGAAGAAGTAGTGTCCTGCTCCAGCCGTGTAAACTAGTGGAGTTGGTACGGTAAGTCGGAGAATGGTGCCATTGGTGTCGGGTACAGCTTCCACGGTGATATTACGCGCGTCTCCTGAGCTCAAGACGTACATCCGCACAAGACGGATGAATCGGTCAATCGACCAGATGGTGACTGGAGCCCAAATCCAGTTCTGCGAAGCCATCAGCGGAAACTATCGTGTTACAAAGCGAGACGAACGCGGTAATGGTAATGATGCTGGAAATATGGTAAGTGGAGTATCGGTCGACAGTGTTGACTGAACTTACGCCATAGAGAAAGATGATGTGTAGCTGGGTTCCCACAATGGCAAACACAGCCATAAGGATATGCATGACGAAAAAGCACTCGTAGAACCGTTCGCGAATCGGCCGCAAAGAGAAGACACAAATGACAAAAAGGGCCACCATGCCCACACAACCCCAGATAAACCACAAGCCAGTCAAATACGCCTTTGACCATTCACCTCGTCGAGCATAGAGGTTCGTGTACGTAACGGTGTGGAGCAGGGAGTACAAAGTTGCGAGGCGTCCGAACCAACGATGGAGAACTTGGAATGTGTCATACGCCCACCCAGTCAGCCAAAGGAAGGGGTTATTTCTGGCGGCGGCGAGCCAGACGAGCACGAAAGCAGTCAACGCAAGGTCTCCCGCGGCGAGACCGACGTTATTGAGCAGTTCATTCGTGCGATTAGCGTATATGCTGTTGGGCTGCACACTTCGATGTTGAACCGCGTTGAGAATCAGACCAACGGCCAGGCAGAGGACGACGAAAATGCTCAGGAGACGAGTGGGTGCGGTAAACAGGCCACCGAGATATGGAACTTGATGGCGGCGACTGAACAACGCCGCATAGCGCACATGTTTTTTGATGGCCGAAAATAATTGATTGGAGCGCCACGAGTCTGGGTTGTAAGGCACTTTCGATAATCGAGCGACACGACGCCAAATCGATATGATAACCAGAGCGCCAACAAAACCGGCAATATATCCCCACCTAAATCAAATCGAAATCAGCAAAATCATCTTGCAGGAATTGGACACAGACCCTTGTCTGACGCGAATGATGTCGTTCTCATTATACGCCCGATACGACTCGTAATAGAGGTTCCATTGCTCGTCGCCCACGCGATACGTCGCATTCAGCACAGTGAGATTGGTCGGTAGAACCGGCGGCGCAGAAGCGGGAAGAACGGCCGTGTATTCGGGAAAAGCGGCTATCTCGGGATAGTTTTGGCGCAACTCCCATTGGATAAAGTCCCAGTACCATTCCACCTTGTTCCTGCCGCCCATCGGCTCGCACCGCTCATGAAGACACCACGCTTCCGATGTAAGATAAGGCATATCTTGCGCCTGGCAGACTGCATTACCGCCGCCATGACCGTGCGTCGACATTGAGGTCATAGACTCTGCAGTGCAGTTGAGGGTGTATGATCCGGGGAAGAATCGCTCGCAAAGTAGACCACAGACCCATTCCCACCTGTAGAATCAACTCAATATGAGCACGCAAAATGTGCAAATTCCACAAACCTTGCGTGGATGGCGACTGGGTACAGAGAGACGACGAGAGCGAGCTGGAGAGCCACCATCGTGGTCTTTACAGACTGCGAAGCGCGGTAAAAATATGTATTATACCAAACCGGAATCTAAGCATGGCAAGAGAAAATCTCCTGATCATGACAGCCGATCGGGCCTGGTTTTATCTTTCCACTCTCAGCACTCTGCAAGTTTGCAATTTAGATGTGTCCCGAAACCAAACTGGAAGAGTCGATGCCACAGAACGCGAGCAAGGGCACTTTGGGAGAGGTAGAGAAACGGCGGACCAAACACAGCGTCAGCCTGATTGTCTCGGGCTAAGCAACAGGTCGAAAACGCAATCGATTCTGAGCGGCAGTATCCAACTTGGATTTGAAATATCGACCAAGCAAGAGGATCCGGGTACCATTGTCTTGGGCGATGTGCAATTGGGTCGCATGGGCGCGGGGCTCGTTGTAAGCTCGGGAAGATTACAAGGCGTGAAACTGAATCGTTGCGGCAAAACGGTTATGGCGACGGGGAAACAGGTGGTTGCGCGACGTCGGACATCAATGGGAAGGAGCATGTGAGGGGGAGGAAGATGACAAGGTGAACGAGCTAGTGACGAGCCGGGTTGGTTCAGTCGACGACGAAGCCGGAGAAGACTTGAGCTGATTCGAACGTCTATTTCAACCCGTATGAGTGTTATACAGAGAGTGAGAGGTATAACAGCGCACCTAACCCAAGTGTAGATGGAGCATATTTGTTTGGTGCGACGCAAAGCATCAAGGGAATGGTGTCGGGGCTTGTAGCATATTGAAGAGTTGCAAATGTTGCGTAGAAGGAGGAGCGTCTGCGGGATATACAAGAGGGACACAAAATCAGCAAGGAGTTTGGGGAGGAAAAGGATTTGAGGGAAGAAACGCACGTCATGAGGGTTGCATGAAAGCCCTTTATATGTGCGGACATTTGATTGATGGCTTGGGACCATGAGCGATTTGCGCGTTGCGCTTGAATGCTATTGGACGATCAATGATTCTGACATCTCGTACCAGTCCTACCTTTGCTACTGCCAACGACATTCACAGCTCTGCTTGCTGTTGTCCGTCCTCGCACTTGACATGCAGTCTGGCTTTCTTCTCAACTCCAATGTGGTCACGGCAAAAACAGTTATGGCCGCCTTACCATCGCCAACTTGCAGAACTGCGGTGGGTGTTGGTGTTTGAAATCGACAAAATGAAACTGAGCCTGCTTAGCTAGCTTCACTGCGTTTTCTATAATGCTCGAAGTCATGGTCGAATACCCGGAATTCAGAAGGGCTTGACCAGTCCTACAGGCTTGCTTTGCGTCCTTCGTCCTAAATCACGCAGGATACAGGAATTTCTATGGAGGTACGAATCCCACTTTGACCTCCTCATATCGATCAATAATCTTGAACAATTGTGTACAGACAAATTTTCCAAACAATGTACAACTAAACCACTCGCGCGCACCGCGTAGACGAATTCTCAAGGTTCTTGATCTCATTCAGACCTCGAGGCGTCGCACATCCAACACATTCAGAATCGCGCTGGCTCATCTTCAAGCTCAAGTTCATTTACTCCCAATATCAGCGCACGACATACCCATCTCGGCACATGAATGAGAAGGCAATGAAACATCAAGAGGAGAGGAGCTTCTAGCAGGACTCTATTCATAGTTCAAGGCGACGAACAACTTGTTTCGCTCATGATTTCCGGCGCCGCCGCCCCGTGGGTATATCCTGTCCTGTCCCCAAGTCGGATGTCACCTGATCAAAGATGTCTACAGTGAATTGAACAGCGTCGCGTATAAAAGTGCTGCTCAAGATCGCCTACAAGCTGGACGAACATGTTCAAGCTATTCTTCACCCTCGTTACGCTGTCCAACGTGCTCGTATGGGCTCAAACCACATTCGATTGGAACTCGGTAAGTCCAAGTCAATTCTCGGTCTTTTATAGGCTCAGTTCGCCGTCAACAGTTAGCTCCAAGCCCGACACTCAACTGGACCCCTTGCTACTCCGGCTTACAATGCGCGCTATTCCAAGTTCCTATCGACTACACTTTTCGCGACAAGCGTAACATTTCAATCGCTGTTGCCCGGTATCGAGCCACCGTTCCGGCCAAGGAATACCGCGGTCCGATTTTCTTCAATCCAGGAGGGCCAGCTAACAGCGGGGTGGAGAGCATCGTCTCTTCTGGTGCCGCTTTCGCTGAATTCTTGGGGGCACATTTTGATATCGTTGGGTTTGACATTCGAGGTACTTCCTTCTGGTGGTTCTTTTTTAGCTCAACTGATCCGGTCTGAAGGTATTGCAAACTCGAGACCCTCAATTTCACTCTTCGATACGCCAGCCGAACGCGCCTCATACCTCCCCGACGACCTCAGTATCCGCATGCGTCCACTAGATGCTTCCGACGACACGCTTACTGCGCTGTGGGCGCGAATGCAGCTGTTGGGTCAGAGGGCCCAAGCATATGACAAACCTCAGGATTACCTGAAATATTTTACCACGGATTATATTGCAACAGACATGCTGCGCTTGACCGATGCGTTCGGCTTTCCCAAATTGAAGTATTGGGGTGTTTCGTACGTTTCTTGCCCCCAAATTACAGCCTCCTCTGAACAATGTGGTCAGATATGGATCGATATTGGGACAAACTTTCGCCACTCTGTTTCCGGTAGGACTCTTCCTTGTTCATTTTTGCTGCTGTTAACGCTTGATTCCCGGTGGCAGGATAAAGTTGAGAGGCTTGTAGTTGACGGCAAGTTCGCTTCTTGGGTATATCGGTGTCGTTTTGAATGACATCCGATAGGCAATCTGGACGGCGAGGCGTGGTTTGGAGGTTTGCTCCGTGTTTCTTCTTCTGCGAGACCCATGGATGACAATTTTTTGTCCAGCAAACCTCACTGGGTCAATGACCGACACCGACCACGTGCTCCAGACGTTTTTCGACGATTGTTTCAAAGCTGGTCCTTCCGAATGTGCATACTATGACTCCTCTCCTGCCAAAATTGCAGCGAATTTGAAAGCTCTCGAAGAGAGACTTCGTCGCCAACCGATATCCGTGCTCACACCCACATCGCATGGCGTTGTCGACTACAGCTTTCTCCGGGTTTTAACGTTCGCTAATCTTTTAGGCCCTAGTGACTGGCCTAATTTTGCCCGACTGCTTGCGCAAATATCTGCGGGGAACGGGACAGAGGCATACACTCAAAAGCAAGTGCCGACGTTCCAGTGCTCGCAGAAGGATGTTTACACGCTCTTCCAAGCAACAATCGGCATGGCTTGTAGTGACATGCGGCCCGTCCATGACACCATTCCCGAACTCGATGCATTCCGCAAAAACGAAGCAAAGCTGTCAGGCTACGGGAATGTTTGGGCCAACTGGCGGGTGTGGTGCAGCGGGTGGAAGATTCATCGAGAGGGCAAATTCACCGGCCCGGTGGGTGCCAAAACAAGCTTCCCACTTCTCATCATCGGCAATACTTTTGACCCGTCAACTCCTCATATGTGGTATGCCTACACTGGCCTCGCATAATACCTTGACTGACTCAAAATAAAAATCAGGTCTCAGAAAGTATCGACACAGTTCCCTGGTTCGGTGCTCCTGACTAACGACGGTTTCGGTGTAAGTGTTACCTGACATCGTTCGCACTCGCGCTGATTCTAATGCAGCACACTTCTCTCATCGCGCCGTCAACATGCACTCACAAGGCTTTGGGAGCATACTTCCAAAACGGAACACTGCCTGCTAAAGGAACTATATGTCCTGTCGACTTTGAGTTGTTCCCTGGTATCAAATCAAAACAGAGGAGGTCTGAGGAGGATGCAAGGCTGCTCCGTGCAATTAGTACCATCCGGAAGGCCGTCCCAGACCATGTATGGTGGTAGTTGGAGCGGATCGTTTCCTCATTCATGATTTACCAACTCCAATTGTCCGAGTGAAAGGTCGCCTGATATAACCTGAATCCACGGCGGCGCCCGTCTCGTGAGCTTCTGCGCCACGGGGCGGAACTGTCGAGGCCATGAGTTCTTCTCGTCGGGAACTCGTAGTCAGCTTGGCATGAGAATTGACTTGCCGACTTACAACGAACTTGAACGAAGAAGGATATGAGTAGTATAAGTACTGCGTGCTGCCGTCCGTCCAAGATGTGTAATGTTGCTTTCTACTTTCTTGCCCTTTCTAGCTGCCTTCAGTGGGGCCTTGGCCGCCAACGCGCCAACGACATGTCGTCCCGCATCCTTTATTCCTGACGCTGATGACAACACGGTCCCACGTCGGTTCGGCTTCTTGCTCTACCGCGCCACCGACCCGCTTGATTTCCTCGGGCCCTCCGAGGTCCTGTTCACCCTCGGCCGCTTCGCTCACGTGGACCTCTTCTACATCGCCGAGACGCTCGACCTCGTGTCCACCGAGCTCGTCCCGCCCGCGACCAACCCGTACAACTCCACCGTCTGGACAACCATCGCGCCGACCCACACCTACGACAACCCGCCGCCCGGGCTCGACGTCCTCGTGATCCCCGGTGGCCCCGGCGCGCGCGCGCCGACCCCGGCGACGCTCGACTTTGTCCGCAAAACCTATCCAAATCTGGACTACTTCATGACCGTCTGCACCGGCGCGATGATCGCCGCTCGGGCCGGTGTCCTCGAGGGAAAGAACGCGACCACCAATCGCGCGGCGTGGCTGGCGGTGAAGGCCACCGGTCCAAATACCAACTGGATTGGCGATGAACGCTGGGTCGTCGATGGGAATATCTGGACCTCGTCGGGAGTCGCTGCCGGGATTGACGCCATGGTCGCCTTCATCGCGTGTTTCTGGGGCGAAACCCTCACTAACAAGACCCTGTTGGCAATGGAATACTTCAGGCATCCAGATCCCACAAACGATCCCTTCGCAGTCTGGCCAAATGGCACGTACAAATACATTTGATATTTTTTGTCCAAGTCCTAGTAGTTTGCCATTTTGCACCATTCAACACCTATCAATTGTGATCTGACTATTCTACCAATTCCCGGTACGCGAAGGCAGCAGTATGAACCGAGTCCATTCCCATTCCGTAGACCACCATTTGAGGAATACCTGCGTAACATGACAGAGCTGGAATTGCAGCCGCCCCAGAAACGTGCCCTAACAGCATTAGCGGTTACCCGTTAGTGGCTGCCCCTGGATCTTGACGGCCCATTGCCCAGGGGGGGTTTTTCTGAGCTTTTAGTGCTGCTCTCCCTCATGATACACGCTAGGTCACTCGCGGGATGGGGAACGAGAATGGTCGTCCAATCGTAGCCAGGTCGTGAGGAAGAAGTATTTGCCTTGATTCATATCAGAGCGAAATACGGAAGGCTTGAGAGACCGCACCAATTAAAGTCTGAACGAGTGGTCTCGACACCAGCAGACGTTGGGTCCCCGTGCGAAGATAGAATTGCGGAACAAGCTCGAGTGGCAAGCAACCCAATACGACGAACTCGACGCGGGGACTATGGAAGAAGGACGGAATCAGCACGATATCCCTGACCGTGAAAAAGACAACAAAATACGGAAAGAAAAACAAAGAATTTGGAAGTTCTGGGTGAAAGGCGAAGAGACAGTGTCACAAAAGTCGGATGGATAGGAAAATCCAGGTGTCGGAGGTCTCAGAGGCCAAGAACAACAAGATACTGACACGGAGCGCAAGACGTTCGCGGTTTCGGAACCGCACGATGCCTAGAAAATCATCAACAGAACATGAACACGTCCGAGTCGAGTGTCCTCTTAGTAGTTCGCTCGGAAATGAGGTCGGCCATTTCAGTGTGCAGAGACGGCAAAAAAGCGAAACACACCTGGGTCAAACATCCTTCCATGCTCCCAAGTCGGCTCCACCATCGCATCCGCAGTCTGTGTTTGAGATGTGTCCTTAAAAGCGTGCCAAAAAAACAGGTCGCAAACCATGGCCCCAACAAGTTCAAGTGATTTTACCTCCCCAAGGCAGAGACTTTCAAGACGTCGACGACGCCGACTTGGTATGTCCGTATGGAAGAGGACAAGATAGCGGACGTGGTGCAAGCAGACGGGAATCCAGCTGTGTTCGCCATTAGACGCTGATGACTGGGTCCCGTCTGCCCGAATCCCTCCGAGAGATAAGCTCTGGCCGGCAACCAGAAGGGGAGAGCCCGCAGGCGGTCGACATCGGAAGGTTTGCGGTCCTGTCGGGCATCTTTGCTTGTGAGGAACCAGCAGGCTAACGGAAAGTCGGCCGTCGTGGTGGGTAATGGGTCATGGGTAGTGGGCAGGAGCAGGAGCAGAGGGAATGGAAATCGGAAGCGTGGTCGAGGAGCACCTTTGTTGTCCGCATATCATGTATAGTAGAGTAGAGGAAGACGTCCCCCTTGTCGTTGGGCTCTGGGCTTACGGTGTATTTGCACCAACCAAGCGACGTCGTCTGCGTAGATAGACATGAACTGAACATCGTTGTTTCAGCTTGAATGAGCACTCACTGAGTCTGTTCAGTGACACCATTGTTGTGGGAGAAAACGATGACAGAGTGCACGCCATCTCAACATCAAATGATGGAGCATCAGGCGCATCAATGATCTCAATCACGATCAGGTGTTTGTTCTCTGTTGTCGTTTCGCGCGGGTCCTCAAAACGGCGAACGCTCCCAACGACGCTCTGATCTGAGAGGAATCTCAGTTGACTTGTTGCCGATGACTGAAGCGGAGTCGCACGTCACAAGTGCAAGTAAAGCGCTGCTGATTTAGAACTGTCTAAACACCAAGTAGTCGGCGACGTTTTACAATCGCCGAGAATCTTCATTCCACGCCAACAAGTTCGCCGCGTTTCCAGTCCCGTCATTTCATACCTGTTCTGACTATTCCATTGCAATTGTTTCTCTGTGCCTGATCATAACAAGCCTTCTAGCTTCCTGGCTCCCGGTGCTTCCCCGAGGCCGTGGAGCACGCGATGCATTGACCACGACTTGGAATCGAAGACAAAACAGTCTACTCGTGTTGCAGACACATGCTAAGCGAAAATAATAAGAATTCGGTACGACGATATAATTCCTGATTAGTTGTACCAACGATAAGTATGCAATGTTCAAAAAAAACAGTCCAACGGTAGCATAGATGCGGCGCGGGGTGGAAAACCTCTTGAATCACTCATCGTGCACGCGAATCATGTCCCCCTCCAGCCTGTACCTTGTACCCGAACTCTCCTGGAGAGTACTCGCGACACGAACAACCTCGACCATGTCGAAGTCCTCATGCTTGTCGATCGGCATCGCAGCATTGACATAAGTGAGGAGTGCCCCCACGCTGAGGTCGTCGCTGTTTTCGTGGGTGGTGTGGAAGAGGTAGTCAACTGAGGCGAAGATGAAGTTACGACTGCTCTATCGTCAGAGTAAAATTGAGAGAAGCAGGGGAATGAAGTACCGTCCGTTGGGAGAGTCCAAATCGGCTAGGTTGGCTGGGACCGTGCGTCTGATGATAGCAGCGGCCAAGTCCCGATCGTGGGCTGGCTGTCTTGCCGACGGTGGTTCATCTTCCATATATGAGTCCCCATCAGCATCAACATCGTCACCCTCAATATCAGCTTCTCCCTCCGTCTGGTGATTACCAACAGTAGGGACATATCCACCAGGAATGTTGCGTGGGGGGTGAACAGGTGGAGGGGCACGAGTCTGTCGACCAACACCCTCTTCAGATTCAAGCTCATCTTCCGGACGAACAGAGGGGGCAGGTATGAGCCGTCGGGCTGTTTGACCTTTACTTCCAGTCATGTCTCCAGCTTTTTGAGTACGACGTTGGCTACGACAGTGGTCAATGAAAGACTATCTCCATATGCAGAAGCACGAACTATCGGGCCAGACATTTCCCTCGGTGCTGGAGCCACGGATAAGCACAAAAGCTACTATCTTGTCGCAACTGAACCCATTTGGTGCAAAGAGAACAAAAAACTCTGTTCGGCTCGACAGCACGAATGAGAAGATCCGCACGCAAAGTCGCAGCGCGTTGTTCGGCATTGCGACGACGAGATTCGTGAGGAGCAGCGTAGTTGGCAGGGGATAGGTCTAAAACAACATGTGGGGCGTCCGGAAGAGGCAAATGAACTGGGTGATGGCCTCCATTTGGTTGAGGGGAGTGCGAATGTTGGGGGTTTGGAGTTTTTGGAGCTGAGGACACACTAGGACTACGAAGTGTTGTCAGTGAAATGGAAGAGCGATTAAGTCGGCGAAACAAGACGCTCACGCGGTACTACGAAGGGAGGAGGTAGTCTTTTGGCAGTCTTCACGATGAGTATGCCAGACCTGAATGGCCGCAGACGGATTATCAGGTAGAGCAAGCCATCTGAAAACATGTGTCGTCAGCGAAGTTAAAACAGAAAACAGAAAAGGGACTCTTGCGCCACCGACAATTTCCGCTCGGGTCGCAGCGTTTTGAAACAAAGAACCGAAGAACGAAACTCACTTCTCGCAAATTCCGCACATTATACGGTCCGATTCGACGCGCCGGACATCGACGTCGCGGGTAATCTCGTCAAAGGCAGATGAGTAGGCAGGGGGAGGTCGAGGGACACTATTGGTGCTACATAGGCGATGTGAGTGACAGCATTGCCTTTGAGTGTGTGGACTGACGGTGTGGACAATGCCCCAGCTTTCTTGGCCAGACAGCTCTTTCTGTGGGCGTCCCAGGGAATCGAGCAGTAGGTTGAGTTGGGCCGTAAACGAATCCATTTGCTGCACGAAGCACACAGAACTCGGTAGGCCTCAAATTGGGCGATATGGGTGTCGGCTTTCAGGTACGCGATCCTTTCCTCTTCAGTGCGCTTCGCACGCCGACGTTTGGGAGCCTGGCTATTTGTTGACATATATGTGGTGGGATTGTAGTGACGGGGCGGCGTCGAAGCAGAGCCAGCGTGTGGGCTGTAGGCTGCATTAATTGGGTCGATGAATGGACATGAGCAAACAAACCAAGAAAGACGATGGGCCTCCCATTGCCCGACAGTGAACTCCCCTGTTTTTTCGTCTCGAAATGAGACCGCAACACCGCAGGCACCACACAGAACATGGCCAGCAGCATACTCGCTGTGAAGATCGGCGGGAAGCTCAGATCCAGGCGTAAGGACAAGAGGCTTGCGGTCGTCGTCATCAAGGTCATCTCCTGCAGAAATATCTGGGGGTGGCGGAGTACTGTGTTTCGTCGATGCCCTAGATGACGTGGAGATGAGTCAGAAGAACGAGGAACTTGAAGTGAGCCTACACGCTTGGGGCAGGTGGTGTCGCTGCTTGGGTCGGCGACGGCGCAGAACTGTAGTGATGGTAAGAAGTGGGAAGGTGGCGCCGACGAAGAGAGCCTACCTGTGAGCTAAGACTTGAGTAGACATAACCAAGAAACGGTCGTGAAGTGACAGAAAACAGAACGGGGGAGACCCAACATGGTGTGCGCCCTTTTAAGTAACTGACTTGAGAGGCTGTAAAGTCTGTTCAGCATAGACAAGAACAGAACCCCGGTGGCGAAAAGTGGGAATAGGATGGACAAATACATCTTGGGACATGTGGGCGTTAATGTGGTAATGGAAGCCCTTGCACCGGTGAGTGGCGTGGCTGACGCCCCGAGCCCATGTTTCGCCCTGCTGACAATTCATTTCTTGGAATCTTTTGCGTATCTTTACCTAAAAAAAACTCCCTTTCCGAGGAGACGCGAATAAGTAAAAGATGATGCAGAAACTATCGCGGATTGGGGTTCGGGCTTGGGATTTACCAATCTGGCATCCCATCGAATCTCCCCAGCGCAGAAGAACACATTGTTTGACAGAGCTCCCTGGAGATATTTGCATATACGTTGTCGTCGGCGGGAGAAGTGTGACAATGTGACTGCTGTCATTTGTCATTGACATCGTCGTCTCCTCAATGAACTCAAGGCCGCTTTGGGTTTCTACCTTGGAAAAACTGTCAAGAGAACCGAAAGAAATGGCATCTACGGCAGCTTTATGAGCTGTCAGCCAACGCAGATGTCTTTTTGTCTGCCTAGATGCGGGTTTGAGCTTAACGTGAACCACAAAGCGTTGTTTTCACTATCCACGTCCGTTAACCTCCTCATCGCGACGAAATGCGCCTTGAATGCCGGAATTAATCACCACACACAGTCACTTCAAGTGAGTCGCATATCGTAGACAACCTTTTATCTTTGTGTTTCCTCAGTTCCTTCACAAGCTCCCGCGCCTCCCAAGGTAAAAGAAGCAGAAGTTGGCTTACTTCAGGATGAAGCTTAGAGCTACGGTGCATCAGAACGCCCACAACGCCAGGCATCGCGGGAATCAAACGTGCCTGACCCGCAGTCAAAAATCCCACCTGGAATTTTGTTGCAAGCCAATAACTGGGCGTTAAAAATCATAGCGACGAGTACATGTGCCTTTTACTTCCTCCCAGACACGGGGGGACGGACATCGACTGGTTCCAACGTCATCACCGGGGCTGCTCGACCGATGCACTCCAAAAGAGGGTCGACAAGGAAAGCTAATTAGAGATTGGTTGTTTCATTTAGACAGATGGTTCCGCATTTATAATTTGTTCGGTTTGAAACGGACGCTCCGTTAGCATCTCCTTCGAAAAATTATCAGTCCATCCAAAGTCGATCTCATCTCGACAGCAAGCTCCGCGCTAAGAACATCGAGCTACAGTTCAAACTAACCAGAATCCATGTCGTGCAACTCGCATTCCGAAAATGAGCAAGCTGTGAATCACCAATGATAACAGGGACTTCTCTTCTGCTACGTGTCACCTATTAGATACTCTGCTGATTGGACTAAGAACACACCAAATTTGAATGCAAGTACCTTGCTCTTTCGCAAAGCCGGTCATGAATGAAATCAATGAAGCGTACAAGGAGAAACGCCAATGCCAATAGCATGCAGGTCCTTCGTTTGACTAGATCTGTAAAGCAGGTCTGTAGAGGACACTCAAGCCTGTATCCGATGATCGAGTCTGCGATGCTCCATGAAATTATTGTCGCAACAAGCCCTTAGAGGGACGGGACTAGTAAAGGTCGAGAAGAAGACTATGATATGATGATGCAGTTGGGAGGGCGGTCATACGGTTATTCGGCTGAGCCTCACCTCAGATCCAAACAAAGAAATCCACCGGGAAAGGTTGCCTGTCGATGAGACCATGTCGCGTTCCGCATTTGAATGAATAAAGAAATGTCAGATAGTTTGTACGGGTGTGTTCACGCGGAGCTTTGGCCAGCGGCGATTGGTTGGAGCCCATCTGGAGTATGAGAGTTGCTGGGTTTGTGGCGCCACGGTGCTGAGGACCTCGGATTCCGGAATTAAGTTGGGTCACTCCGGATTCGGCGAAGCTTCCAGCTACCGTCTACGGACAGAAAGCAAGTGTCGATGATACGACACGGGCGGGCGTGGCATCGGACATATGTCCGCGACTGCTTGCGCTGGTTTGGCAGCCATTCAAGCTGGTTATATCAGTGGGGTGGCGGAGGAACTGTGGCTTGGGAAACGAGAGGTTGATCGGTGACCAACGTTACACATAATATTCGATTTTAGAAGACTGGCGGGGCTAGAGACATGTTTGTTTGCCATTCTATTGGTCAACCTCGATGACTTCGCGCCATTACAGCAAACACGACGGTACAATAGACTTTGCGTGGTGCGGAAGGGAAGCATGGAATGCAGGGTGTTGCGAGGGTATACCAAGGGTCTTGCCTTTGCAGTAAATGTGGCGAAAGTAAGTCCACATGTGACAAATTGGATTGCTAGAGGTCCGGAGCAGAAGCTTTCCTAATGACCGAGGGAGGTTGGTAGCGATTGCGGCGAGATTATGATGGCATAATGGCCTACGGAGAACTCATCGATGTAGTCAGTTCGGTGGAAGGCGTGCAAGAACAGGCTACCAGAGGCACTAATACATCCTGCAGAGAGACGCCACCTAGCGATCAATTAGCAGTCGAAGAGCGCTAGCCTTGATATTTTCGGACAGAGAGAGCGACCAAGGATGAAGGACACCGTCTGACATTCGACGAGAAATAAGATGACCTTCTACTGGAGCGACGACTTTACCGCCCCCAACTCTGGCAGCGGTGGTGGTGTTGGCAGAGACAATTGGTTCAATGATCTTGAGAGTCCTTATGAATACAACGAGACCATCTGGGCTTAACTCAAAACGCGCCAGAAGAGAGCCTGATTATTATTGAGAATGACCAAGATAGACGAAGAAGCACAAACCTCGAAAGGGAAAGTTGTGCCCCCAACCAAAGAGGGCCCTAATCCTTAGTCTCTCCAGGTGTTTCTTGCCTACGACAACAAGGTACAGGTTTTCGTCGGTCATCGAAGTGGCGAACGGTTGGTCCAATGCGAATAACAGGCGCTTCGGCATGATGAGCGAGCGACCAGAAAATACGGCGCGACAGTTCTCGACAGTCTCCGCATCTACGAGACCCTCCGATAAAAGGAGCGCCAAAGCTCCTCGACCGTGTTCATGCTTGACGAGCGTTGGGAGTCCAACTTGCCAGGGGAGGCCATTTGGAAGAAGAAGGTCATTCCCAGCCGCGCCATCTGAATCGATACGAAGACGTATTGCTCCAGCTAATGGCGAGGATGGGGGAGGTACATGGTAGTACAGAAAACCTCGCGCGTTGCTGGGAAATGGGGTAAACGCTGTGTCGTACATAAGAGAGAGTGGGGGGAGGTCTCTGGAGAAATGAAGAGATAGCTTGCTGCCATTGGATAGATCTACGAAGTCTGACGACTTGAGGGAATCGACTTTGAGGGAGGACAAGCTGTGCTTGAAAATAGAAAATCTACAGTAACCAGATTAGTCTTTGACTCGGAAGGGGCAGATACAAATATACCTGCTATCCCGCTTGTAGGCGCGGCAACTGAGATTGAATAGTGGGTTGACTCGGAGTACTCGTTCCGGTGCTTGTTTGGCCGCAAGGCCAAGGCGCACCATGATGGCTTGCTGACATCAGCATGCCGACGCCGTGTGATGCGCTGGTCCTAACTTAGTAACTCAAACTTGATCGTCAACCTCATTCATGCGACTCGATATAAGTAATCCGACCCATGCCATGGACGTTGCCGCGTCTGACACGGATGTCATACACGAAGTTTTTCTTCTTTGAACGAGTACAAGTCGGTGTTCACCAACGCCGTGCCATGGCCGCGCAATTACAGTAGGAAGCCCAAAAGCCCATGAAGATAGGCATCGCGTTACTTTCGACTCTCTCGGAAAAAAGTCTTTGATTGATAGCACGGGGACACGGGGACTGGCCGTGTTATATTCAGGTACTTCCACGCTCATAAATATCCCGCGACTTGGTGCTGAACTTATTCAGCGATACCATGTTCTCTTCATATATTCTCCTAGTCACATCTCTCCTTGTGTCTCAAGCCCTTGCTGGCTTCAAGGATTTTGGCATCTCCGACTCTTCCTCCATAATAGACGTGAAGGCTTTCAATGTTGCCAACTTCACGCTCAACAACCTCACTCATGTCTTTGTCAACCCGGTCCTGCCAGGCCACGAAACGATAACATTGCCAATCCATGCGTTCTTGCTTGAGCACAAGCAGAGTAAAAAACGCTTCATGTTCGATCTGGGCATGAGGAACGATCCGGAGAATCTCACGCCGCCTTTTGCCGCCTTCTTCACGGGCAAGGCTATTACCGTCGACAAGTTCAAAGATATTACGGAGCTACTTGGGGCCCAGAATATCGACCTCAACACCATCGACACCATTTTTTGGAGGTGCGTTGTTCTCTCATTGCCTGGATCACTTACTCAATCGTTGCCCCAGCCATGGCCACTTCGATCATATCGGCATGTCCCCAATGTAAACGCGATGCAAAACTAACTTTTGCCAGGCGATATGTCTAAATGGCCTAAGGGGCGGAACCTCGTTGTTTCTTCGCAAACAGACCTTTCTATCTTCCCCGAGAACCAAAAATCCGACCTTCAAAAGAGCGATCTCGAGTGTGTTGTGCTCTGAACACTTTTTAGCTCAACCTAACCCACTGTAGTGGCCACAAAGTCATCAAGGCTGATTTTAGTAGCTCTAAGACAACAATTGCTGGTTTGCCGGCTATCGACTTTCTTGGGGATGGGTCACTTTTCCTCCTTGATTCTCCTGGTGTGAGTCATCTCTCCCTGTGTCGATTCTTGGCTCAGTAGTTGTTGCAGCATCTACAAGGCCATATGACAGGTCAGTGCTCATTATTTACCACCGTTGACCAGAGTTTGAACTACCGAAAGCCATTGTCCGGACTACACCGACCTCCTTCATCGTTCTTGGTGCAGACTCTTTTCACCATGTTGGCGCTATACGTCCCAATGGGGAGTTTCAAGCCAACATCCCCTGTCCCAGAGATTTGCTTGAATTTGCTAAGAACGGCATTTCCACCGACTTCTTCTGGTCTACCAACACGCAGCCCGGCCGATTTGACCTACCCTCGCGCACCCAGCCGTTTTTCTCCCTCTCCGATACGGCCGACTCTTTCTTCGTGGACCCGAGAAAAGGTCAGCTGACCGCCGACAGGCTCGCTGTCCTTGATGGCGACAAGGACTTCTTAACTCTCATCACGCATGATCTCAGCATCGCATCTGGAGCACTTCCGCTGGCCACGTCTCTCGAAAACTGGCAGAAGGACGGTCTAAAGGAAAAGCTTGCATGGCTTTTTGTGGACCAAAAGAACCCGGCGTTCCTGTTCAGTCCTGCGTCAGTAGCAAATCCCCCTTCCTCGCATTCTGGGTGCTCTCACAGCCAATAACCAATGATTGCTGACTTTGCTTTGCTTTCCCTTCGTTCAGAGAATCACAGTCAAGCCTTGATCGAGAATATGCGGATTGTGTGCAAACATGTGCGGCTAATCGGCGTAGCGTAGGCCCAAAAGAGAAAACGGAACGGAGTATTGGCATGGACTGGGATACACTATTCTAATGACACTAGTAGATTATTTACTATTTCTTAATGCCACATGATCCGATGAAATATTGGCATGTCGGCCATTGTTGGGCCATTGCCTCGGCTGATGCATATATTGATTAGATTGATGGGTAAGCTCATTATCATCGTAAACAAGAGCTCAAGCCAAGATGGCCAAATCGCTATCGTCTATGCATGAACGGTTTGGCCCCGCATTTCAGCTCCGTCACAAGTACAAGCAGAGTGCGCTCAGACCAGTGATCAAACCTCTTGACTCCGCAATCCCATTCATGTCGTGGTCCTACAAGCCAGCAGTCTGCATATCCAATGCTCAAGCGTCCATGCCAAACATTATACCGCATTATTTTTAGGCTCTGGCTTGGAGGTTTTGACCACTGACAAGACCGCCATGAACCATACCGTGCCCCAAGCGTCGAATCGAGAAAAAGTATAAAACGGACACCGGAAGTTGGAAGGAAAACAACAAATCAGCTCTACTCCAATGGCCGCAAACAACGACCGCACGCGAATTCCCGTTCCCATCATCCCATACCAGACAAACCGCCGGGCAATGCTGGAGGCGGCCACCCTTCCCCCAATCACCTTTGACTACGCCGACGGACGCATGGGTGCCCCTGGACTCGGTGTCTGGATTCGGGATCTGCGTGGCCAGGGCGACAACACCCCCATCTCCGGCATGCACGATTCTGTCTTTCCCCCCAATGTCGACCAAATCAACTTCCGGATAATCGTGCGTACATCTTTCTTGCATGCGACTCTCTTTGATGGTATAATCAGTGGCCGGGGTACGAAGCTGTTGATAATTCGGGCTACATCCAGTTAACCAAAGCCAACGGTACTCGTCTCACTCGTGTCGAACTCGGGAGACGTGTCGCCGACCGCATCGTTCTGTGGTACTTCGTGAGTTTTCTGCACTTGGCTTTTGTGATTGGGTTCTCAGTCGCCATGTAGGACGTGAAAAACAAACCTACGAGAAGTCACTTCCCGTTGGGCGACTCGCAGCGCAGAGTCACCTACCAGGACATGTACCTCGTCAGACTCGTGAATACCGTCGGGAATGTCTGGCAAGCCGACATTGTTGTGGATAGAACCCCACCACCGTCCAACCTACCGTAGTAAATTCCAAGACCTCTGTATATGTACAATTGCTTGCTTCCTGGCTGGAGTCAATTCAAGTGCACGCTAGAGTAACCAACTCACAAATGTCCAGCTTGATCAGGCCGCGCTGGTCGTAGCAGAAATGTTGTGCCGGACTTGGTTGTGCAATCACTCAATGAGTCCTACAAAATCCCAAAAGCAAGATGAGTCATATCATATCTGCATACAAAAAGATTGCGGAACGAGTCAAGTCGAGACACTATTGTCCTCGACAGGCTCTTATGTACAGTACGGGGGGAGGAATCTATGCACAGTACAAGAGGGAGGCCAGCGTCCCGACGTGCCCAAGTCAGACAAGTAACCAAGCCTGACTGGACAAATGGAGGGCGCCGAGGTATCGCGAAGAGAAGGGTGTGACCCAGACCCGGTATCGCAAATTTGTGGGATATATGTATCGCAGAGGTGAGTCGTGGGTGGGTCGTGGGCAGGGGTCGTAGAGATTGTGGTCGTGAGGTAGCGCGCGAAGGTCAGTAGTAGAAGTGGATAAGGATATAGCTAAGTTGGTGGTTCGTAAAAGCGCGAAGGGTCCAAGGTATCATCAATGTCGTCAGGTATCATATCAAGAAAGCAGGGCTGGCCAGTCAAAACGGTATGCTGGAGATGGTAGTACAGAATGTAGCCAGTTCGGCGGGTTCCGAATATAGGATTATTGTGCTGGTGGGTGAATGGTTGCAAAAGAACCACGGTGAAGGGTTGACCAAGGAAACAGTGGCGTTAGAGCGCTCGAAAGCGCCAACACCAAGCGTACAAGTCATCCCCAACAAGCCGAGACTAGTTGTTTTGAGGACTACGTCGCCCGCCAATCTTCACCCAGACCACCAGCCCAAGGGGCAGCTGCCATCAATGTCGGGCTAGCAGGACTCCTCGCTCTCGGCAAGCTACTCCCGCTCATCTCGTTCCCATGGCCATTCCCAGACCCACTGGATCCGGAGTTTTCTGGTAAATGTCGTACACCAAACGCACTGTTTGCGGGACTCATTGGTCCAGGAACAGAGATGGGTCGTCCTAAAGCAGCACGTGATCGGGCAGAGTTAGAGGAGGGATATTGAGAATGCGGAGTTGGGTTTGAGTTCGAAGATGAAGATGTATTGTTTTGGTTGCGAGAGTGGATAGAACGGGAGGAGAGGGAGCTGGAGTTGATTGAATTGTCGAGGCGAGAATGAAGAGAGCCATGCTCAGAGGAAGGTCCGCCGGAGCCAGAGACATACTGTGCCTTGAAAAACGAGAAGTCAGCCTTTGAATATCGATAGAGGAAAAAAGGACATACCGCAGTATTCGATGGGCCACCAAATGTCCCTCTTTTACCGGGTCCACCAACGCCAACACCCCACTCGTTGTTAAGCAACGAAGGAGTGCTGCCAGTTCCACCTAGCAAACGCCAACCACCATCTGCGCCGGGCGGAGCATCATCCAAATCAAGACTTAGATGCGGAGCTCTCTGAGGAAGATCCATTGGTGAGCGCAAATTGGAGGATCCAATAATACGAATTCCAGGAGTGCCGGATGAGCCATACGAAACTGATGGTGGAGGTGAACGAGGCGGCGGTGGAGCATTGAAAACGGGAAGCGGGGGAGGCGCAAAAGGACCAGGTGCTTGAAGGACACCACGATTACCGCTTCCGAAGGTTCCAAGCTTGTCGATAGATGCAGCCCTGGCAAAGCCCATCTCCAGACCCGCTTTGTCCCAACTGCCAACACTGCCAGGTTTCTGACTGTCAACATTGAATCCTAGACCAGGAGGTCCAAAAGCGTATGCGGCTTCGGGTTTGGTCGTTGTCGTAGCAAGGGTGCTCGCGGATGGTGAGCTGCCACTTGTCAAGGTCAGCAATGTAGGGTGCGCCGGCCCCTCGGATGAGCCGTGGTGCGAAAGTGTTGGCTGAGTTTGCTGAGACAACGAGGCCTCTGATGCCGAGTGTGTCAGACTTGTCCTCGAGGCAGAATGGTGTAAAGAGGCGGCGGATGAGAACGGCGCGAATGCAACTGGGGCAGGAGCATCAAGCGGGTCAGCTCGAAGGGTGGTATCGGGATCAATTTCGGGCATCGGATCATGTTGAGTGGGTGGTCCGGTACCAACACGAGAATTGGAGCCACGAGTGCTCAGTGTCTCTCTTGCATCGGTATACACAGTTCCGCCACTCTTTCCACTGCCGTTTGTCCCATTTGTCCCATCTGAGCTGACGCCGCTGAGGGGCCTTGCGGCACCGCTGACTGGTCGTGATCCCGGTGTTGCTGGTCGTGATGAGGACAAAAATCCAGGAAATGGTTTCGTGCCAAATTCGCGCATCTCCGCGCTAGGTCGTTTGCTGCGTTGTTGGGACCTCGGGCCAGCTGGTGAGGAAGGTGCACTAGGAGATGATGCATCAAACAACAATCCAGTACCAGCTTCAACATCATCTTCGATTTCCCTAGAACCACGGGAGTCCCGTAACCAAGAGAAGCGAGGAATCCAGGACCGGCGGAAGGGAGTGGCAGTAGCAGTTTGAGCTTGCGGAAGTTCGGCTGGAATATTGAATTAGTTGTGGTGGAAAGAAAACTGTAAAAGACCAACGAGGAGTATCAGGACCGGACACCGCCACTCGTCTCGCATAGACTACTTCGCCCTCCTCATCACCACTGATATGAGAGCCTTGCATGGAGTTCCTGGGGAGTTCGCCAGATGGCCGTGGCAGAACTTCCCGTTCGCCCTCTTCTTCAACCAGCATTGCGAGCTGGGATGGGGAAAGAATACGGCGTCCAGGCATGATATTGGCATAGGTAGTTGTCGGTGGAGCGGCGCCTGGAGGAAGAGCATGATTGTTGCCACCCGAGTAGCTTGTAGGCAAGTCAAATGGATTCCCTTCGTGGTTGTCGGGAAGCGACAGTGACGGATGAGCCAACAGTACTCCATAGCCGCTGACATTTGTCCCGCTGCTTCCTGTAGTCGCACCTGTCTCGCGGGACGACCCAGAGCCACTATTGTTTCCTGATGCTGAACCGGGATGTGGATTGGGTAGACCAGCACTCGTGAGGAAAGGATCGACCTCCGTGCGACCTGTGCCTGGCTCTGTTGGACGAGTTGGGGGAGAGCCGGGTGTTTGGACCATTAGCCAGTCTGCATCGAACTCGTCTGTCGAACCAATGCCATTGCCAGGGGTGACCATCGTAAACCTTGTCCGCGCTCGACGTTGACGCCGGGGGAGAAGAGCGGTGAAACGACTACCAGAAGTCTTTCGTTGACCACGAGAAGCGGGCACATTCTGCAGTGTTTGTGGCTGGAGCAGACAATATTCAGTAAGTAAAGGAGCTGGGATCTCAAGATGGTGACATACATCGTTTGGGTCGCCTCTTCTCCGCCTACACCAGCGCAAACAACATGAAAAGAAGAGCAAAAAGAGTACGAAAGCGCCGAGGATGGAGCCAATGATGACTCCGATGAGCTGACCGTGGGATAGGCCTGTGGAACTTGAGGCTACTGCTATGCTTGAGCTCGAGCTGGAAGGCATGGCAGACGAGGAGGATGGGGATGTTGTCGTGGGCGATGTTGATGATACTGAGCTCGATGAAATTGCTGAGCTCAACACCGAGCTTTGCGAAGGGGAGGAGGAACTGGGTGGCGCGGTGGATAGTGGGGTAGAAGAAGAGAGAGCGGAGGACGATGTGAGAGGAATAGAAGACGAGGCTGGGGTGGAAGTCGAGACAGGACTTGTCAATCCTCCATATACCCAGTCTGAGTCAAGTGGGATACTTGGGCCGTAGTAAGTGAGAGGCAGAAAAACTACGCTCGTCTCTGTCGTCTGCGGCAGCGTGATCGTCGTGTAGGACAACCATGGCGGCAGTTCCTGGGTTGGTGCAGCCATCGTCCGGCTTTTTGTGACGGAGTCAAGGAAAGTAGTTGATAGTCGTAAAAATCGGTAGTGTCGTGTGTGGCACTGGGAGAGATGAGTCGGAGGAAAGGGAAGGGAACAGGGAAAGGGAGGGCGGATAAAGGAAGAGTGTTGGGAAACACTCACGTGCTCTTCGCGACCTGCCGTACACACCGGCGCTAAGCGGCGTTTGGCACTCTCTCCCAATCGCAACACAGCTGGATGAGCTCCACGACGGAGTCAACGACAGAGATACTTACCCCTCAGCTCAGGCTCACTCAGACTGTATCCGTTCTGGCGATCGGTCATGCTCTGATATCAAGAAGCACATCAGCCAACCAACAGCCAGAAAGATTAGGCAAAATTATTCGCGGCTGGCTACACCCATTCCACAATATCCAGTCAAGAAATCGGTTGCTGTACTAGGGGCCTCCGGCACATGTGCCTTAGGCTGGGACCTTGCTTTCATACAGCCTTCTTATATATATATCTGGATAGAATCTGGGAAAAGAACGAAAACCAGCAGAATTCAACACAATAATGTCACTGAAAACAACAGTATTGACAGGTTTTGACAACAACACTTGGCCTTAAGTTCACAAACTGAATGAGGTGTAGAAATTAGTCTCAAGTATCAAGATCAAGCTACATAACCTTAACCATGACAATAAGCAGTCTGCTTTTTCATACCTCAGCTGAAATGATGGAAGTCACGAGATTTCCGCATTAGGGAGGAGGGTTTATGTTTGATAGCAGATGGCCAGATTCCCTGAACCTGACATCCTACTGTGGTAAATCTATACTATCCTATCCCTGATTGAACAACTGCCAGTGTTTGGTTTCACTGTAGTGATTGATGGTAAACATGACCACAACTAGTGAACTTTGACCCCATTCACTGGCATGAATCATCCCCTTTGTACAAAAGCTATACCTAGCCAAGTTAACAGGGAGGTATAGACAACCATTGTATATATGAATTGTATACTGTGAGCTATGAATCAGAGTGCAAGACAAGACTCATGGTTATTGTCTGGAAAGAGTACTGCTTTGGAGCTCCCATTGAACCCCTTATAAGAAGTAGGCTTCAAGTAGCAATTCTCAAGTTGATGGAATGGGCACCAGGCAGTGGCAGGCACCTAAAGCTGTGGTGACTGCAACAGAGCACATAGACACTGAGGCATTGAATAAGTACACTCAAAGGGTAACTTGAAGCTATAATTCAAGTTACTACTGACCCATTGCATTCAATTCTGCCTAGTGATCATCACGGGTGGCATGACCCGTGACGGGCTGTGAGGACGGGCCTGCGTGGGTACGGGTGTGGGCCTGGCCAACCCGATAGCCAGCCGGGGTAGCCAGCTCCAGCCAAGTTTTGACACCTTGAAAATGTGACTGACTTGGCTTGGATGGTCGCAACGGCTGTTGCTGGGGTTCCCAAACCCGCAACAGCATTCCCCGACATCGTCTTGATCATTTAGACTGCCTTGGCGTGGCTTGTGTGGTCTGCAGGCCGTGGAAACGTGGGCCATCCGCAGCCCATTGGCCAAAACGCGGGTACCCGCACCTGCCAAAGCAGATCCGGGCCATCGGCGGGAACGGGTACAGCCTGTACGGGCCACCCCAGATTTACCCGCGGGTGGCCCGTGACAAATGCTAATTCTGCCAGTCATAGCCACATCACATTTTTTGGCCAAAATATTTTAGCAAGAGCTATTTTTTTTGGTTCCACAGCAGCCTAATCGGGAGGATTTTCAAATTTTATGCACCTGCAGCATGCTAAATTTCCTAATTGGGCAGTAGGTCACACAAAATTTGGCCAAATGGTCATGGGTCATTGAGTGTCACAGGCCTGCTGAATTGATTGAAATGGGTCAGCATTATTATTAACTATTGAAAAGGTCAGTCCTTGCAATTTTGTATAACCATAACTTAGCTTCACTGAAATTGAAGCAACCTCTCAAAACCCCTGGCAAGAGATATGCATAGCTGAAACCCCGACGTCAGGTCAGAAAAGTGAGTTAACTACTGCTGGACCACCCCCTCCCTGTGTGACGTCACACCACGTGATTGCACGTGATGTCCCAAAAAGGCAATTCCATGATGGGTACGAGAAACTGGTGAAAATGTCATGCAGTACTACTAATTTTCTCTATATATAGTGTCCCTTCTTGTGCTCTCCACCCACATCCACCCTGCGGACATCATTATAAAACCAATTTTGGCTGCAGGCATAGCTGGCAGGTGTGACTTGGGTGTGCCGTGGCTGTGTCATTACTACCCAAATAGGAAATTCCTATCAAAATGCTTATACATGCCTCAGAAGAACATCAAAATCTGCTTTCAATGACAATTATATGCATGCTGAGACCATTAATAGCATTCCTATGTACCCTACAAAAGAAAAGTGAATTAAGGCTACCAGACCACCCCCTCCCCCCTGACGTCTCGGCTTGTGCCAGCGCGTACCCCTTGACCCCTGGTGAGTACGTACACTGGAGCATAAATATTCACAGAGACAACATGATAAAAAAATGACTTACCAATGACAAAAAGCAAAGACTCACAACTGAGCATGCCAGGCATTGCCACTGGCCAGCAAGATAAAAATGGAGTGAAACCCTCTTTCTTAGAGTCTCTCCCTTTGTGTAAATATAATTTAGCACAGATAAGACTAAGATAACCAGGAGCAGGATCTACGGAAGTGATGTTTTTGTAATAAGCACTCAAATGTTTAGCATAGAATCGACAAAACTGTAGGACGGCTGCCTGGCTCGGTGATTATCAATTGTAGGTTGCAATTGACTGAAATATGCCGATCAATCATCGGGCTGTTACAGTTGTTTACCTATGTTTACTTTTCATGTTTACATGTGTTTACTGATTGAATTTCTCATATGGAGGACCTTGCCAGAAAGCAAGGTGATTGTAAACCTTAGGACAAAGGTGTAACCTCATTCGATTCCTCCTTCTTTCTTCTACTTGTTTCTTGTAGCCTGCATGTAACTTGCTTAAGGGCTACTCAGTATGTGCATAGGAGACCATCTTTTCCAATGTCACCCTCGTGTCAGAACAACAGGCAGCGGGGGTGTTGGAGCTTCTGAAATTACCATAAACAAGAGACGGAGAGGAATTATTACGTGGAAATACACAGAATACGTTTTAACACATGGAGGCACCTTGTTAATGCACTCTGCTTGGGTACATCTTCACCAACAAGTACACTGCGCTTGCTAGCACTAGGCACGGCGTTTTCCGAAAATTCTAAGAGAACAAATCAACTCTCAAGGAAGCAGCTTTCATATTAAAAACCCACCTTCCTTCACCCCTGCATAACGGGCAGCGGTCACAGCATCTTGCGCCTGAGCTCTCGCCAGTCTTCGCTCAAACGATTCTCTGGTGATTCTGCGAAGAAACCCAGTCAGCGGCAAATTAAGTTCGTATGTACGGAGAACGGACCTGGCGATAGCATCCCTTTCATGGAAAAAGTCTCCGGGGTTGTTGAAAGACGATACTTGGAGCAGGTTGTGGGTGAACTTGACTGTGAGCATGTCCTCCGAGGTCGATCGCTGAGGCGCGAAGAGTGCATGCCGGATAAAGTCGAGTTCGGCCGAATCGTCATGCTGCTCGACTTCTCCGCCTTCGACGGAGCTACAATCAGGCAGCGGAACCGCATCAGCACCAGGAGCATCGAACTGGTCAGAATTTGCGTTGTAGACAATTGACTGGTCGTCCTCGTCAGGAGAGGGTGTGACCCTTGCGGCTTGCGCTGCTTCAGCTCTTGCTTTGCGATCCTGGTCTCCACACCGTCGATGTCGAAGCCGTTCGCGAATGCCCAATTCGCAGACAATCGGATCTACCCGCATCACCGTCTTTGTGCGGACTGTTGTGCTAAAGAACGGCGAGAGGAATCCGCCCGCCCATGGTAGTTCGCCCACAGTCTGCAGCGGCTCGCGAGTTGGGTGATGTGTGTCCAGAGTAGGTGCAATGGGAAGCGACATTGAAGAGGTAATAAACAAATCGGGGACGTCGTTCGGGAGGCCAGGTAAAACGAACTCGACATCCTCCGCACGGTATTCAATATCAGGGTGTCGTAAATCGTCAGTCTGCAATAAGGGCTGAGTTCAATTCAAAGAAGTTCTGTGGTAAACAACACTCACACCGGGAACAAAGACAATATAGTCTTTGAATGTGAGGCTCGAGGCCGCGTCAAGCGCGACTTGATCCTCCAAATGCCCAAGTGAATCAATGGGGTCAATTGTGAGGACAGCGAAAACACCGTCTTGGGGCACAAATTGGATTGCGGAGGGCGGCATTGAGAATTCAGGCGACATGATGATGGTTAAGCAGACGAAAGTCCGCCAAGAGGGAGATTGTTTTTTATGTCCGAGAAACAAAGAGTGCTTTGTCTTGATCGAAAATTTCTCGTCCACCAATTATATCTGATCGGCGCTGCTTGGACCCACAACGCTGATAAAACCGATGCTTCTGTTGTGTACCCGCACTCTTCGCTTGCTCCATGCCTACTTCAAGTTTCCAATGTCGTCGTCCTCGGTGTCCTCATCCTGTCCAACCTCTGGCAGTCCGTTCCAGGGGAGCGAACGATCCACTTCAGCGCGGGGATGTATGCTTGATAGCACATACACCAATTCCGCTCGCATTTTATGAAGCACGTCACGAGAACTCGGTGATGGCCGACATGGATACGATGTCTGCAATCTCGCGAATGCGTACGCGCGGTGCAAAACTGGGTGCAGAGTATCGGCCCGCTCTGCTTCTGAACGACGATCCAGTCAACCCACGAGTACTGCCGCTGACGACACTGAAAGGTGCTCGATACGACGATCTCGATCTCGAAACTCGAACGCTGGTCATTGAGATCGCACAGGAAGGAAAGTCGACCGCATTAAGGAATGGAAGGCCACACGTTCATGTCGGGGCAAAAGAGTGGGACGGAAAGGCAGGGCCACAGTATATGTTGCTGAGAAATCAGATTCCGGTGGAAGTACCGACAGGCGGAGTTGGATTGTTCACCAGTCGTGCAATGCCAGAGGGCGCATATGTTGAAGAGGAGGATATAGCGTGGTTGGAAGAACTTGTGTTGGAGAGAGAGCAAATACATCGTCGACAATTGTTGGAGAAGCATCAACGGCAACCTAATATGGTGAGCAGAGAGACTGTAATATTGGCGGAAAACTCACGCTGGACAGCATACAAACTGGAGGGAAGGGAAAATAGTCTTGGAGACGCGACCTGCAAGTATTTCCAGTCAACGCTTCAAGGCAACATCATCAGTACGATGGTTCAGTCATGCAGAGGCAGATGAAACTCACATATGAACTAGTGCTTTGGGTTTCGCACCACCAAGCGCATGCACGCCTCTCAGGCTCGCCCCAAGCCCGTGTCTTCCCTCAAATCGCGGAATAGCACCATCGACTCTGCCGCAAGTTGGCGGTCACGATACTCAGTCAATCCGTCGCCGCTCCAGAATGCGTTGAATGTCAATCCGGTTGGAAAAACCCTCCCAAGCAGGTTTGCGTCTTTATGTCTGGTAAGTTTCATAATTCTCGTGCTTTTCACAATGACTCACCTCAGCGATGGGCAGGAGTCAGCTTGAGTGTTGTAGTATGTTCCTGGAGGGCTTTCATCTTGTAGCCATTAGTGAACAATTTGATCATGACGATGATGACTTTTGACAAGAGTGTTTAACGCAACACCGCACGAACGCCATTACAGACTGTGCGCACTTGCCAGACCAATTCTGGGAAGTACGATGTGCATATGTAGAATTGCATCTTGCGAGCGAGTCATGGCTGTGACATGTGACGAGGATGCGTAAACAGGCGTAAACTTCGTTCACCAACGTCTCATGGGGAACAGTGTTCAGAAAATCTGCTCAGGCGAGGAAAAGTCTCAACAACGAAATAATGATAATCGACCGGATTCTAACAAGATACAACCACAGGCAAATCGAAGAGTCGAGAAATGGTAGTTGGCCAAGATCACATCAAGAGGTATCCAGGAAGCTCTTGCGTTTTCGGGTGTCTAAGTATGCACCAATTCGTCAGACACATGCAAAAGAGAGAAACGAGGAAAACGAACTTGATAGTGACATGGTGGATGAGGCCAATAGGCGTGAAGAGACGTTTCGGGAGGGCACAGTTTGGCACAGGACAGGGTTGTTGAGGGAGGAGGCTTTGATGCAGGGGCTTGCCAGAATGTCTACCCAGTATTTAGTTGATTTATGCTCCTTGGTGGAAGGAGTAGGCATAAGTACTGAGATAGTTTGTGCATTTCGAGACCATGAGGCGTATAGACTTGTTTCGCTTTAGGACATTGAGGACAGTGTTTCTTGTTCTTGGGATAGGGCGGTATATGAGCAAGGCGGTCTGGGTTTTCGTCGGGATGCCTTGGAACAAAATAAACAAACCAGGCGAACAGGACTCGAGGACACGACTCACATGTCGATCACATGGTCCGCCATTCCGTTTCTTGCAATCAATCTGGCACAAAATGAGCAGCGAACCTTGTCGTATCGATTGGCAATAGCGCCTGGAGGAAAGATCCCCTGCTTGAGGTAGTATACTTCATCAAGAACAAGCGAGCGATATTCCATCCATACTACTCGTAGATCAGAGTCCATCAACGAGAAAAAAGGCCGAATGAATTGACCGCTGTACGTGAGCAAAGTCAAATCGCGACCGAAAACAGCAAAGATCCGGGACATGGTCGGCGATTTGAGAATGGCAGTCACTTTCTTCTCTTCAACAAAAGCGATGAGCTTCATGCTAATCGCAGTTAGCACTCGAACGACTCCAGGGTTTGACACGGACAACTCGATATTCTTCTTTTTGACGGCCTCCTTCTCCTCAAGATATAGCGGTAGCCACAGTGCAAGTTGCTCGGCATTCTGGAATGAGTATAAGAAAGCTCAAGTGTCGAGTCAAAAGACCAAAGAACCTGATGAAGTATGGGCTTGTCTCGTTCTCTCTTGTCGAATTGCTATACATCGAGATAAAGAATCGCAACAGGCTTGGTAAATGTTGGGCTTCACCTCTTTAAGTTGTTCCAGGTTGCGTTGGGGAAAACCTCGTGGATGCCGATGAGGATTGCCATGGGTGATATTGGAAGCTTCTTTAACTTCGAGCTGGGCCTCGCGGAGTTGACGACCCACGTAACGGTGAGTAACTTGGCCGTTCGCGTTGGTAGAAACGATGTGGGGGAGCCACCGACTGGGGTTAAGCTGCGCAAAGGGCGGCGCGATGATGATCGTCCTCATACTATTTTTGAAAGGAAAAGAACTGAGTCTTAGGGAGAAAAACTCCACACAGACTCACTTTCGGAGGAGATTATGTTTACAGTTTTTCTGAGACGAATGAGATCCTTTGAGGGAAAGAACAAAAAGTAAAACGGACCGAGCATACTCGCAGCCTGAAAACGAAATTGAAAACGAGGTTGGGCGTAGGTTTGTCGCATCTCTGGAATTGTTACTGTCAGGAGACGAAAATATCGTGATGACGATGACTCACTGAGCAGGTGTTGTCTTCAGCGAATAGCCAGGTCGCATAGGCTGCTTCGCTGTAGTTACCGCTCGCTTCGACAACGGGGGGGGGAAGGTAACGCAGGACAATTGCCACGTCGAAAAGTTCGTTTCGCATGTGTGTAGAGACTGAGGTTGTCATGAATGAAGTCCCTCAGAGAGCGAGACGTCATCTCCAGCTGTGCGAGGTCGTAGGGGCTGCAATGCGACATAATCTGGTTGAATGGATTGAAGATCGCTCAGGCGCGTTGAATTTGAGATAACAAACCATCATCCCGACCTCAGCAGGAAAGTAAGGAAGGAAAAGGAACCGGGCCACATAGTCGTCACTGGCGGGAAATGTACAAAGCTTCAAGTTGGGCATGATGATTGTAGAAAAGCACTTTCGGTGACATCGGTCACACGATAATTTGGCCCTTAAGCTTGCCATTGTACAATGTCAAGGTCTCCAGTGATACATATAGAACAAGGTGATGAGAGACCGTAATGCGAACAGAGTCTGCCAGTGAAAGAGATACCAGTAGCGACAACTTGAACGCGTCATGAAGATGGGGCGTGCCGTCCGTCACGGTGCACGCGCGTGCACCAAGTCCAGTATGAGAGCACCCCCCGAAGCAGAAGCCGCAGGACCTGCCGCGAACATCAATGTGAAGAAAATTGAAGGTGAAAGGCGGGACTGGTCAGGCCTACTGTCAATGCTCAAGAGATCGGGACGGGTTACCCGGTTAATGGACGCTACTACTATTATTATTTACTCTTCAGAACCTGTGGCTACCTGTGGACTCCGTCGACGCATACAATGTACACTTTATTACAAGTCAACTGCAGCAAATATGTTTGTGTTTGAAACTTTTCTCCACCCGCCGGACGACTCACTCATCTGAGTCAGAAGCTTATGTAACGGCTCCAACGATACAGCCGAAACATTGCTCCTCCACGGTGCCCATAAAGACTGCTCTCAAAATGCATTCTTGCATCGGTATCGCCTCTTCTTGAAAGTGCAAGCGCTCGTCTCGGTGAACCCCTTGTCGGTCACGTGTTCTGCCTTACATATTGAATCTGCAGCGTCGCATCATGATGGAATCTCTTGCCAACCAGCTGAACTCTGGCATAGCTTCTATCACATCAAGTTGCAGCATGAATTTGGTGCGCACTTTCCTCCGAGTTCAACTTGCCAATGGCTCAACATGCGTAGTCGAAATCCGAATCCAAACCGATGGTGAGAGCGAGGCGGATATCCATTGCTCAATCCCCCTGCCGTCCATGAACGAGCGATTTGCACTACAATCGGAGAACCTCGCCGGATGTTCAGCGGGCGGCTTGCCCCGTTGTGAGGGACGTACGATCCGAGGGGTTGTTGCGTTCAGACAATTCAGCGGACTGTATCGAAACTCGAACGGCCTGAGACCGTCTTTCTGTCATTCGTTCACGATGGTGTCGGCTGGGTCCAATCCCCAGTTGGTCGATGGCGATCAGCTCTATGCATGCTCCACAGTTGGTTGAGGGAGGCGCTAATGAGCTCTTGATTGAGCTTGTTGTCTCGTCGCCAGTTTGCCTTGCGCAAATTTACCCCGTGATGTCGTCCGGTGCATAATCGTAACTTTGTTCAACGGTGGGCGTGGTTAGCTGGGTTCTCGCTCCCGACTTCGACCTTCTGTTCAAGTAATCGTGTCAAATGCTATTCTTGTAATCGCGGCGTACAGTTAGCTTTTTTGCATTAGCCAATTATACCCCACTCGTCTGCATTAAGCGCAAGTAACGCGAAGAATCGAATCATCTCGACAAAGTCGTTCGCGTCGATCGCTGAAGTTCACGTCAGTCGAGCCATGTATGGGGGGGAGATCACGAGGCCACCCACACTCATTGACACTATGGATGCCATTCAACGTGCCCTCTAAGCCCAAGCCAGCCGTGTTTCCATGACCGTAGCGGAAGATGTTCGGCGTGAGATCCCAGTAGTGGCGCGTATCTGTCCATTGTATCAGAAAAAAAAGACGAAAACCCGAACTGGATCGGAACCTGTGTTTGCTGGCATAATGGTGGGCGAAACCACCACCGTCTTGTCATCCCCAGACGAGTGCCCGAGGCGTGTATTGTAAGTCGACACAATCGTTCCCGCTAACAAGTCGTATGCTGCGGCGGCGGGGGTTATCGGCGCTGAGTCAAATGCCTGGCCTACGTTACCCAAAGAGATATTTCCTGCGGCAGATCCCGTGGAGATTGGTACACCAAAGGCGGAGAACGATATATTGAAGCTGTTGGCAACTGGCTTGAGCAACTTGGTATCGTCATCACGAACTTCTGCCACCGAGCTGAACAGAGTAAATACCGATCATTTTCACTTGACCGATCCCCTTTCTGCAAGAATGCGATGGTTAATGATAACTGTCGCCAGCTCTGGGAGTGCGTTCGCCTTGACTCCACCGCGAATAACGTCAACGGCCGTGGTCGTACTAATTTGGCTTCGATAAAGGGGATCTTGACCGAGTACGCTTTCTAGCGCATGGAGCGACTCGTCAGAGGTCATAGAATTTTGGATCAGACTTTTGAGTGGAGGAGGAATAGATAACGTGTGCTCTGCCAAACACTGGAATGTTTGGAAGGGAACGGAGTCTCGACTCTGATGGCTATTCTCAGTGGATTTTCCGTGTAGGCTCGAAGAAAAACTGACTAGCGAGGCCTGATTGGGGTTGTTTTCATATTGAACAACAAGAGCGGAAAGAACTCCGATACTCTGAGCAATACGAGTCAGATATTACAACATAATTACATAGTCCAAACTCACTGTATGGGATGGAGGATTGCTGGAATGTCCACCCGGAGACGTGACGTTGATAGTTATGTCGATGTAACCCTTCTCAGTTACACCGGGGAGTGCAACCAACGTGTCAAACATATTGACCATACCCGCTAAAAACCACATTGAGATGAATCTTTTCAAGTGTATGACAATTCCATACGGCCTTCGTCAACGATGAACGCAAATCCATTGGGGCCATATTCCTGGAGTAGCGCCTTTGAAAGATATTCAGCTCCCTATTAATGGAAGGTTACCCAGCGCCTCTTCGTAGTCGAAGTTGTGGTTCGCACCTGGAAACCACTGATTTCTTCATCGAAGCCGAAGGCAGCTACAATGGTCCGTGACGGAGAGAAATTAGCTTCTAAAAGAATTTCGAGAGCCGTTCTAAAACTGGGTTAGAAGGAAGACGGGGAGCTGCAAAACTTGCATACAAAACTCCGATTAGCCCATTTTTATCGTCCGCGCTACCTCGGCCCCAGATCCGATCACCTACCCATTTTTAGACCCTGGAGAAACGATGGAGAACAAGGCAAACCGTCGAAGAATCCGGAAAATGGAGGATGAGCCCAATCACTTTCCGTCAAAGGATCAACGGGAACAACATCTCAAAAGGCATCAACATTGCAACAAGGAAGCAAAATTCAAAACACCTTGATGAGCAGCGAAAAATATCGGTTTAAGCGACGCATCGGTTCCTTTCCATTCGTACCATAGAGCATACGTATTGATTTTACGAAGAGTCAAGTGAGAATGACTGAGATTCATAAGCTTGTTGTTTGCCCAGATACAACAGACGCACGCAAGAGGAAACGCTTGTTTGAGATAGGCGTGGAGGCTTTTGAACACTTCCCAGCGTGGATCAGTACCGACAGCTTGCATATCATCGAAAGTGATAGTTCTAGCTGCTGGTGTTGAAGGAAATAGAACCCTGGAGAAGAATAGGCGTACGGGATTTGCACTGTGCCTCCAAGGAGTTGCACAACGCGTGTCTTGAAGTCTTGTGCTTCAAATTGGCGCGTAGCATTGGCCCAAACGGCCTTGTTGACGATGGGAGATAAGGCGGAAGGCTGAGGGCACACGTCGTCAAGAGATTGACCAGATTCCAACTCGGAGAAGAGTTGAAAGTCGAAAATGCCGACACCGGGAAGAGTTGCTGTTGGTAGGCCCCACGTTAGAGCCACAACCAGAAGTGCAGCAATAGCGAGGAGTGATGGGGTGAAGCTAGGCATTGAAAGTTGCAGTGACAATGCTGCAACAGCGTATTTCTTGTTTATAAGGACGTTCGAAAGTTGGTCACTATTCGGCGCCATATAAAATCCACACAGCGTTAACAAATGGATCAGCACCGAGGCCTTGAGAAGCTTCATCTTGAAACTGGACCATCGTGGTCGCGGTTGGAAGGCGGTGGATTACATAATGAACACATCGTCAATGGGTGCATTAACGAGCAATCCAACGGGCCAAAGCCGTCTGGTGGCGACCAAGGTCTAGCATCGATGAGCTACCATTTGCTCGCAGTAAATCACGAGAGCCATGGTTTTCAAGTCTTTCCATTTCCAGACGCTATTCGACATTCACAACACGACGCACACTTGGTCGGCGAATCAAGTTCACCTCAAGCCCGGAGCCCAACGACAAGGGGGTGCGCCCTCCTCCGAGAATCTATCTACACATGATGGCATGAAGCAACAAAATGAATCTTAACCCTACTTCAACCCGTTCGTTCCATCCCATAAGCAATCGTTCGTTTGGTCAGGGTTAAATCAATCAGAGCTCATCTAAACGACCCTTAGTGCTTGTGACCGTCGTTTACGGTCGTCATTGACAAGAGACGACTCAAAACGATTCGACTGCATGTCTCTCAACCGGTGCAGCTGCTGAGCCAGCACTGCACGCAGTAGTTAGTCGCGTCATGTCACACGTAGTCACATCCATCCGAGTTTGCTTCTCACCAAGCGCTGCGAGCCTTGGGCATCTCCACCGGCGATTCTTGGACCTTATCCAATGACTAAAGCGCAAAGTGCAGGGTATGTCGATGCTCATAGTCACCTCAGCATTGTCTACATAGGTCAATCGGAAACCAGCTGTGCCTAACAGTTGTTGCTGTGGACGGTCAACACATCTGGTACTCCGTACAATGCCCCCAGCTCTCCATCCAACAACCGGAAACTCACACCAAGTCGCCAGAATTTTGGCCGGGAATGTCGACGACACGAACCAGTATGATGTGCTGTGCAAGACCCAAGCCAACCAGTAGCCTGCAAGAGATCGCAAATCAGTACGGGCCAGCACCATATCGTCAGCATACCTTCGCAGAAATCCAAGAAAGTCGAGCGTAGAATGTGGTTAGGCTGCTGCGTCGTCGAAGGCAAGAGACACTCACGAAAAAGAGTGCGCCCCGTCTTGTGAACTCTCCCTCAAACTCCAGACTATGTACCGGGCTGGCTAGCGGAGCCGAAACTTCTGCTTCAGGCGGATGCTACCCGGTACCCGACCACAGACAATGCAACCAAGACACGATGTCGGGAGAGTCAGACGTTCTTTGAAAGTTGGTGGTCGGCGAAGAAAGATTTAGACGATACAAACAAACAGGTAGAAAATACACTAGATGATACGATGAGCCCAGGAATAAAAATACAACAAGTGTGTCAGAAATTATATGGAACATGACTGTAGATAGTCTGGTCAGTCTCCATCAGAGGGAGAGTAAAGCGGAAGTCGTTCAAGTCGAGATCAAGGTCGAATAGTCCCAGAGCCGAGGTTTCGTCAAATTGTCGGTGCTCTGCATCACCGACATAATGACTTTGGAAGGCCAAAGCTCCATTGAATGTCCCCGGTAAACATGCAGAGTCCGGAAGAGCGGGCGGATAGACGTCAAAGGTGAATTCGTCAGCAGAGAAATGAATGCTGCTCTCAGATGCACTCTCAGGGTACTCGAGCCACTGTGGAGCATAACGCGCCACTGGTGGTGGTGGAGGTGGTTGGATAGGCGCTGGGTACTGCGCTGTGGAAGTGGATGGGAGGAAAGTAGTGTCGAAGATAGCAGGCGTGCGTGGGCCAGGTGATGCAGCCGGTGAGTAGGAGTCTGAATCTGAAGGGCATTTGCAATACAACTCGTCGCAGTCGTACTGGCTAATGGTTGGCGATGCCGGGATAACGGTGGGTGGTCGGACAGCCAGACGTTTCCTGCCTCGACGAGCTTTGCCGTTGGATGAAGAGCTTGGATGGCTCTTGCGGGCATGACGCTCGCGCTGTCTCTCTGTCGGTTCGTAGACACAGTCGAGGCCGCTGAAGCAGCAGCGCATGCAAGCCCGATCTTGCGAATCGGTAACGCACTGTAGGTCCTGGTTAGTTTGTTTAATCCGAAGGCAAGTGGCTGAAACTCACCTTGGTTTTACTACTTCTGCAGTTGGCGCAAGCCCGGGAAACGCGAACAGGGTAGTCAAAGTCGAAGGCAACGGGAGCCTTAAGACTGGTCAAGGTGGGGGAGTTCATGTCGGATGAGTAGTTGAATCGAAGACCAGAGTGGGGAATGAAGAGACGCAGATTGCGCCGTGTCTCTTATAGTAGGCGCTGCTTGGTAGCGACATGACGAAAGAGAGAGAGAGAGAGAGAGAGAAGTGCAGAGGCGATCCAAAAGCCACCAGATGTCAGTCGACGACGACGATCAGTTGATGATGCGCATCGCGACACCGCTTTTGCGGATTAACGGCGTAACTTTTCTTCTGCAGTGAGCCTGAGTACAATCGCGAGATTACGCGCAAGGAGAATCCAATATTTCGTCCGTCTTCAGCCTTGAGCTCTTCGTCCGAGCTGAATCTGTGTTACAGCCACCAGAGTGGGAGAAATCGTTCGTCCGAGACGATGCTTCATTTTTTTAGCTTCTTCGAATTCATTAAGAGATTTACCACTCCCGCGGCTGTTCCAGGCAACATCGTGAAAGGTCCAACCTAAGTGATAAATCCGGTACGACTCAGCAGCAAGATTCGCCGGAGCCTTGATGTCGCATCAGCACGGCCCGACTGGTCGTAACCCATCGCTTCCGTTGCTAGAGTCGGTGATTGCCAAGCCACACCAAGATCGACCCCGACGCCAGCTCCCCAGCAACAAACAACAGCGCTGAGGCACTCAGCGCATTTTTCTCGGTTGACAAATCAGCTCTGCCCAATCGCTCTGTAAGATTCCTTGTTATCAGGAGAAAGCTTGGCACTGGCTGATATCGCAGTTACTCTGATTCTGAGTCTGAATGGACTCGCAGAGCTTGGGCAGAACGTCTAATCATTGAGCGCTTCGTTCAGCACAGGGAGTCATCACAAACATTCATGTTTACTGTTTACAGGTGTATATGGTTGCAGCTACAAAAACAGTAAGAAAACACTGGGGCTTCAATCATTGAGATCAGATTCAGGGAAATTGGGGTCATTAGCCCACAACCTAGCCGGCTCTCCCTCACGGATACGGCCCATCCACTCCATCGTCAACGCTGCAGCGCGCACAAAGAGAGTACCATCGATCATGCTACTATCGTCCAACTCAGTGTCCTCAAACTCCCCAGCAGGCACAGTGCTCCAAAGCGAGCCGAAATGCGCCAATGTACGTTGTGTTTTTGAAAGATGATCATCGGGATGGACAAGTGACGATTGGATGACCTTGAACCACAAGTTGGGGATACTTGCGTCGGGGTAAGCAGTTTCGGATGGGTCAGGCTCTGCGTCGGGGAACTCGGTAAGAATGTCTGCAGAGAAGAACGAGTTGAGAGGGAGGTCTGGAAGACCCTGGGCGACGAAGTACGCCAATGATCGGATGAAGTAAGCACGCAAGAAGAGTGATTTGTGCTCGGGGGATTCAATGACCGCGATGTAGGAGCAGACAGTCATTGCGCTGGTGACAAGGTGCAATCTAAAATTCCGGATCAGCTTTGATAATGAGAGAACAAAACCATGAACATACAGTGTGAAATCCGCTTTGTGGAAGCCCTCTCCATCGCGCCAGCCACCAACAACATAGAACATTGTGTTCATAAAGCACAACTCCTTGACCTTGGCCGACACGTCCTTGGGGTCGGACCCGTCAACACCCCATTCAGCTGCATATTCTTGCAGTTCGGTCCCGAGCTGCGTCATAACGTCGTTGAAGTTGCCAGAAAAAGAGCGGAATTTATCATCGGCCAAAATACGTGCGACGATGGTGAAGGCATGTGTGTCACCTCCGTTTGTCTTGAACATACTTTTCGGAACGAGGACAGACGATGACATGCCATGAACACATGCTTGTGCAAGTCCTGAACCATATGGAATCAACGAGTGTCTTGGTTAGAGAAGAATGAACACACCTTCGGCCATGAGACCAGGCAGACTGCAAGCAATCGTTATTAGAAAGGACTTTTCAGCAGATAAATGTGAGATACCTGAACTCGAGTCCATAACCGAGATAAAGCATCGGATGCAAGATTCCCGCAAACAGTCGATTCAGCATGTCAGGTTTATCCCCACCATAGTTGGCCTGGGGTGAGAATATCCAATCTTCGAGTACTTGGTTGGGAGAATGTTTGAGGAGGAGGTCGGCAAAGAAGTACTGGTAGCCTTGGTAGTAGTCTTGGTCACCGAGATGCTTGGAGAAGTTTTTGGTGGTGATGGGTTGTGGAGAATGGCCGAGACCGCGCTCTTGGGCAACATGTTGCTCCCAGATCGCTTCGATTTGATCAACGGTGCCGCCGAGCGACCACTGGACGAGGAGATGGAATGGTGTGTGGTTGTGCGCGCCCCAGTAATTGAAGAATCTATGAGAGTATTAGATATTCTCAATGGAGAGAGCGACTAGCTACCCATGATGCTGCTCAAAATCTTTCTGGAGGTACTTGCGGACAAGCTTCGTCGTCTCTGCCGTGCTACCAGGATACCGCGACGGTGTTTCGACCGTCAACTGCGGGCCAGGAAGCGGCCAGAGAGCTGCAAGTTGTTTGGAACTGAAAGGTGCCATGGGACTCTTGCGATTGGAATTGCCATCGATTTGAGCTTTATACTGGTTAGCAATTCGTGGTCTGAGGATGACAGGGTGAAGGCTTGAAGATTGGCGTCGGTCGCAAGATCGTGACAGTTGGAAGGGTTCTGCATCGCCACCAAGTTGCCTTCGCTCTTCCAATCCAATCCAACATTCATTTCCCTTCTATCGCCTGGTCGGTTTTCTTGGCCTATTTGCCTGCAAAATCGGCGCGAGCGGAGGCTTTTATACTCAAATCCGGTCCTGCTCGTCTGTGGAGGATTTTCTTGTGAATGCCGCCCATACAAAAAAAAGCAAACTTGGTCGTTCACTGGCAAGCGTGTCGCTCTCCGAACGGCCACAAGTTCAACTCAAAGACTGAATGCAAGAATGGACTTCGAATGTAGTGCCTTGAGTGCTTTTTGAACGCCGACGCTAGGAATAGCCTCAACGACAGACAGCTGCAACGCAAGATAATCGTGAGTGAATAGTTTTTGTTAATAGACTCGGATCCATCTAAAGTTCAACTAGATACTTTGTCTCTGCAGAAGAGCCAGATGGCACGTTACCGACTACGCTCAAAGCGTCAATTATGATGAGTTGGTCGTTCAAACTCTGTTCCTCGCTAAGTGCTGCGACGACATTCCGCTTTAGTCTCCGTGTAGCTCGCTCCTCATCGGTGTTCCTGGTCACAGCCACTGTATTGTGTGCGGTTGCCGCATGCTTGAGTTCACGCTGTCGACGGGCGATCTCTTGGAGGCGCTGAACAAGGGCAGTTGTTTCCTCTTCCAGACTGTTTGACTCGATGATGATTCCAGGAGCGGTCACGCCTTGGATAACGATGGTGTTGGAGGGCACAGAGGGCGCGTTGAGGGAAGCGGTGTTTGCCTCATCGACAAAGGGGAGGTGGATTGTCGACGAGCTGGCAAGGATTAGCTCAAGACGTGCCTTGCACCGAAATATGGACCTTCCTCCGATCAATGACCCTCGAAAATAGCAAGCAACGCCCAATTTCCCCACCATCCCTCCAGAACACAACCACTTCGAACCTCAAACGAGCGATAACGGGACCCGTTCAGGACGCCACCACCACGATCCGCGCCGCTGAACGTAACCGCACTCGTTCGAGCAGCAAAGTTTTGGGGTTTTGAAGTAGCATCATGGGTCGAGAATCATTGAGATCGAAGCCTTTTCACAGACTATATCCACTCGTTAGATTGAATGTATGCATATAAGTATGCGAATGGGAGCCATATGTAGCTTTTCGAATGTTGTCGGTCACGTGTCAACACTTTGACTCCCATTCTATCTCTGCCTCTAGTGAGTACTCGTTCAGGCTGAATCGACGATATTAAGCTCATGTATAACTATATACACAGATTTAACGACGTCAATGTAAATACATCGTAAGCCCAGAGCCCAACGACAAGGAACCTCCACTACTACATGATTCGCGGGCAACAAAACATCCCTCCACTCTCTCTCTGCTCCCTCCCAAATACCCACCACGACGGTCGCCTTCACGTATGGTATCACGGCTCCCCACAAGCGATGTGCTAGTAATCCATACGATCCCGACCATCTACAGGCGCTCCCCTCTTGGCTGTGCCGGCCACACTCCCGTTCCAGGCAGGACCCAGTCATCATCTAACGACGAGTAGAGCTGGATTCCCATCTGCTTATCACCACGTCTGCTAATTTGAGCATATCTCTCTGTATTAATGTCCCTATCCGTATCACTGCTCTTCGAGTTGTTCAGCTACCATTACTACTTGGTCCGAGTCTCTGCGATTAGTCATCAACCAGTCACTCCGCCCTTGCCATCATGGGCAATATTTTTACGTTGCCCCAACCCTCCGTGCGCGACAATCTTCCGGCAGAAATCTTACTTGAGGTACGCCGCGAGTCCCGTGATAAATTATTTTTGCTCACAGCGTTTTGAGGTGGCTTTCAAATGTAGTCCCGTTGATATTATCCACCTCGAGCAAACTTCCAAGAACCTTCGCAATTTCATTCATCAACACAAACAGTACATTTTGAAGGAAGCTCACAAGAACCTTGCCCGCGGGCGTTGTCCACCACTACCGGATTGTCCTATTGTTCAAGCTTCTGGTAACTTTTCGCATTCGGCCTATGCAAACTGGGTATTTGGGGCTGCACCTTGCTCTGTAATAAGAGCTTTTATCCGTTGGATTACAATCTCACCACCCACTTAGGTATGCTCTTCGATAACGTATTCAACCCCTGTCAACTGGGCTTTACGATTACGGGCTTGTTCAGTGAGTAGCACACGAGTTTCTACTCGATCAATTGCTCACTTAGCTCTTCAGAAATATTGCAGGACCGTGTTGGCTTCGTCAGTCAGAATTTCTACTTGTGAACGGAACATTTTACCTTTACAGGAAACCCGCCATTTATATCGACAACTCTGGGGAGCTGACGAAGAGCGCTTTTGGCCAATGGCTCCCTCGGTCGAGCTCTCGCCCCCCATATCTCTATTTCAGAGAGCATATCAAGCGAGCGAGACTCGAGCGCGATCAGGTCATCGCTGTATTGAATGGATGCCAGCGTCAGAGTACTCTTGAAATTCCTCGTCGAACTTGGGACCAGCTTCAAGCCGAGTATGCGAAGAGGGAAGCCGATCGGCCCATTCTCGAAAAGGTGCGGAACCTGTGCTCTTGTATCCACACACACTGATGACAAAGCAGAATGCGGTCGAGCTAGAGCGGTGGTTACCGATCTATCGTGTCGAGAAAGCAGTAGTCGAAAAACGCAATCTTGAACGGCAAGTTTTTGTCCTACCTCGTATCTTGTTGGACCAACATTTTGTTTCATAGAGTTCAACTTCTTGCGCAAGTAGAAAACGTGCGAGCAGCTGAAATCACATCAACTCCAACAATGAAGCACATCCTATTTGCCTTTGCTAGAGACTTGGCATATATTACCTACAGTGGTGTGTTTCTCCTTTGCTCTTGGACCCTATTGAAGGAACTTCATGCAGTTTGGATTGATAACAGGTCGCGGATATTGGCTGAGATCGAAAACCGTCGTCAAGAAAAGCTGGCATGCGCGTTTTGTCACCAGCTCGTGAATTTCAAAGGCTTCATATATCATATGTACCGCAGGTATGTCTCTCGCAGCTTGATACGGACACGACTTGTATCTGATTCCTTTCTCCAGCCATCCAAAAGAAAACCGATGTCCAGTGGAGGGATGTAACAAGAAGCAGAAAGTAATGAATGGCGAAGGTCTCGCTGCTCATTTCCGAGCGAAGTAAGAAGTCGCTTGACTGTTGTCTGTCCTGTCCTGTTCATGATGATTTTTAGGCATCGTGCGGTTCCAAAACTTGAGCAGTATCGGGTGGACTGCTTTCATGACCATGATGATATGTGTTGATCACATAGACTATCAGCCCAGGGACAACTGCACACTCCTTCTCAAATTAGAATTGCAAGCTAGCCAAGTAAACGACTCGGACTCCTATGTTAGCTATAGTGACGTGACGAGTACTATCGATACTAGTAATACTATGTTGAGTATATAACTAGATTTGTAGCGTAGGCCCGTGAAGTGGAGTCTGTTTTGAATTAATAACACTGTGCAGTATCACTTGGAGTGCGGCACGGTATCTTCTTTCACAGGCCGCAGAGAGCGTGACCCCCAGGTCCACGAGAGAGAGAGAGAGTAGCATTGTCGGTTGTTGTGCCACGTTCACTCACTCGCATGCCAGTTGAGCACTCCACTTCGGTGTTGAGTTTTATATCAGGCCAACTGGGAACTTGAACTTCTAGGCTTTCGTCGGAGTCTCCAGGGTTGCCCTTACAGCAGAAGAAACTCTCTACAGGATTAACCGGTCAAGATTGCCAGGTTTGGTGCTGACTCAGGCTCGGAGTACGAGTCCGTACCCCCCTCGTCACCGCCCCTGCCACTTGACCCCTCCTCCTCTGCTCTTGTCGTCTCTACGCCCGCTATGTCTACCGGAGCTGCTCCGGACGCTGACGCGCGCATGGACGCACTTGAGGCGAAACTAGACAACCTCACCAATATCCTCACCCACCTTGCTTCCCAGGCTTCCGCTGCCGCACCACCTCCGGCAGCTCCCGAACCGCCTTCGGCATCTCCGAATGCCCCCGACGCGGATGCGTTATTTGGTGACATTACTGTCGCCTCAAAACTGGTCTTACGACCAAACCCCCCGTTTGCGTTTAACTGTCAGGGGAACCTCCCTTTCGGCCCCTCGGAGACGCCTCTGATTCCGGTCCGACTCCGGTTCCGTCTCCGGTCCGGCCCTCCATCTCGCCCGCACAATCACCGATCTGCCAACGCCCTCCCAACGGTCGCCCTGGGACCTTGCCTGCGATGCCGCCCAAGCCTTCTGTGCCCGACAGCGGCAGCTACGGACAAGCAGTATATAGTCAGCTACCTAGCAGGCGGACCCTCAGAGTTTCTTCTCTTTGGATCCTCCCCTGCTAGGTCAGCTTCATTTGTATTCGCTTACCAATGTTCACGCTTTGGATCCTCCCCTGCTAGGACCTTGATCTCAGGCCTCCGGGGTTGCCCTTACAGCAGAAGAAACTCTCTACGGGATCAACCGGACAAGATTGCTAGGTTCGGCGCTGACTCAGGCTCGGAATACGAGTCCGTTCCGCCCTCGTCACCGCCCCTACCACTTGTCCCCTCCTCCTCTGTCACTCCTGTCGTCCCCGCACCTGTCATGCCTTCCGGAGCTACTCCTGACGCTGACACTCGGCTGGATGCACTCGAGGCGAAAATCGACCGCCTAACTGAGGCCCTTACTCTTCTCACCACCCAGGCTTCCGCTGCCGCTGCCGCCGCTAATACTGCTGGCGGACCCCAAACAACACCACCCCCGGAGACGTTGATTCCGACTCCGACTCCGGTTCAGGGCGATTCCGAGGCCCTTTTTGGCGACATCAACCTCGCCTCAAAATTGGTCTTGCGACCAAACCCTCCGTTCACCTTCAACGGCGATCGGAAACGCGGCCGCGCGTTTCTCTATGCGGTCCGCACCTACGCCCGCCTTGCCCCTGAGGCCTTCGTGGTCAACGGAGAGGCGAGTGAGGAAAAGGCCGTCCGCTATGCCATGTCGTTTATGGCAGAAGGACCCGCTCAGCAATGGGCGGAGCGCCACGGAAGCAAAGCCCCGTTTCCGTTTCCGTCCTGGGGCTCGTTCGTTTCCGAGTTCCGACTCCGGTTCGTCGAGGAGAATGAGCAAGATCATGCTCTCTCCAAACTGGAGACTTCCGCCTATCACATGGGATGTCTACCAGTACACTGACGACTTCGAGGACCTGATGGACCTCGCCGGATTCCGAAGACGCGTTGGTCAAGGTGACCAAGTTCCGCCACGGACTTGACCCCCTGATCAACAACGGAATCACGTCCTCGAACGACCCCCCGGACCTCCGGGACTACCTTAGCTGGCGCACCCGGGCCTTCCGTCAATACGAGGCCCTGGTCCGGGCCAAGCTGATCAAGTCAGCCGCCCCCAAGACGCCTGGCGGTTTGATTCGGACTCCGTTTCCGGTCAACCGTGTCAGGGTTCGGGTCGGGCCAACGGGCCCTATACGGCCCGACGGGCCCTCACCACCCTTAGAGCCAAGCCCTCATATATTCACAAGCTCAAAGCACTGAGCAACAACACTAATATCCCAGAGAAGGGACATAATAACGGATCGCGCTTTAGTCAGCCATCAAGCCATCATGACCCGCCATCAGGGATCATGATGCGCCGCCGGACGCCCTTGACAGCGGGCCCAATCGGCCCAGACAACCACAGGGATCAGGAGGGAGCTCCTCACTGTTGCATTGCCAAACACTCCTTAGTGTCGACATTGGCATGGCTCCTTTCCAGAGGAATGGTCCCTGGGCTCCTAGCGGAGCGACCAGGGACGACCAGAGACATCCCCTGCTCCATTCTGATCGACCCTCAGCGGGCCCGATCGGCCCCTAGCGCCCACAGTATATAAAGACCAGAGTATTACTCCTGTACCTTAGGTTTAGCATTGAAGTCTCTTCCTTTGAACCCTACTCCGGCCTGGTCCCCTAGAGCGGGGTTGCTGCGACTATACCCCAGGAAAGGGGCGTCTAGACGACTTCCAACACTCCAGGCTAGCTTGCCTCATTGACCTGAGCCCTTGGTTGGGCTGGACAGCTCAGGCTCTTGTCTCTTATGTTCACCCTTGTCCTAGCCACTTCTTCTTGCTCTCTGGCCTCAAGCTCTGGGTTCCCCTGGTACGGGGCGATGGGAGGGTGCGGGCCCGATCGGGCCCGCATGTCACGCGTCACACCGCGCAGTCACGCGGTGTCTAGGAGCCACAGCGACTCGTTTCTCCAGGAAAGGAGATATGTCGCCCCTTGGACTGGCAACCCTTCTCAAGCGCTCCAGGGGTCTCGGGCCCGCAGCCCCTGCTGCGGGGCGACTCCCCTCGACCCCCCGAACCGTCGGGCGTGACCGCGTTACGTCACGCCCCGCCCGAACGGCTTGTTCAACTGGCCCAGCCTATGCCTTGCCCTATGCCTTGGGCACCAACTCTACTAGGCAGCACTCTTTGGCTATGGACTCGTTCCCTTCAGCAGGGGTAGGACACTCTAGACGACTACTCGTATCCTGTGACACCGCTGTCACACAACATGACAGCGGGGCGTCTCGAGTCGCCCCGAGCTGTCCCTACCCTGCTCTCTATTGCAGCAGTAGCACCATCTACGCTGCCTGGCTGCCGACCACCCAGCTATGGGGGTTGAACCATCTTTCCCACACTTGTCAGACTGGCAGGAGACCGTCACGTGGGCCCGGGCCGGCCCTGTTCCTGACAGAATGCTAAACCTCCTTTACTGTCCTTCTTTCAAGTGTGGGGCGCTCTCTAGAAAGCTCAAGTTCTTGGAGCAATCCTTTCTGTGCTGAACGACCACTCGATGTGTCGGCACTTCGTCCAATGGGTTGAGGAGTTATCCCTTTCGTCTTGAAACTCCTGGGAGCCAACAACTTTTGCTCCATTCGTCTTATGGGTTGAGGAGTCCGCCCCTTCGCGTTAAAACTCCGGGGAACAGGTCAAAACCTGCTCCACTTGTTCACTCCGGTTAAGGAGTTCTTCAAACACCTTCTGCGCCTAATGACGCGATGAAACGACCCGATTGGAACCTTCGACCACCGAAAACGACAAGGGACCGAGTTCACGGGCCCTTTCGGTTCAAATCTACCCCGCTCGCTCTGCTTACGGGCCCGATGATCCTGTCAGGGGAACCTCCCTTTCGGCCCCTCGGAGACGCCTCCGATTCCGGTCCGACTCCGGTTCCGTCTCCGGTCCGGCCCTCCATCTCGCCCGCACAATCACCGATCCGTCAACGCCCTCCCGACGGTCGCCCTGGGACCTCGCCTGCGACGCCGCCCAAGCCTTCTGTGCCCGACAGCGGCAGCTACGGACAAGCAGTATATAGTCAGCTACCTAGCAGGCGGACCCTTAGAGTTTCTTCTCTTTGGATCCTCCCCTGCTAGGTCAGCTTCATTTGTATTCGCTTACCAATGTTCACGCTTTGGATCCTCCCCTGCTAGGACCTTGATCTCAGGCCTCCGGGGTTGCCCTTACAGCAGAAGAAACTCTCTACGGGATCAACCGGACAAGATTGCCAGGTTCGGCGCTGACTCAGGCTCGGAGTACGAGTCCGTTCCGCCCTCGTCACCGCCCCTGCCACTTGTCCCCTCCTCCTCTACTCCTGTGGTCCCCGCACCCGTCATGCCGTCCGGAGTCACTCCTACCGCAGACGCCCGGCTGGACTCACTCGAGGCGAAAATCGATAGCCTAACTGAGGCCCTTGCTTTACTCACCAACCAGGCTTCCGCTGCCGCTGCCGCCGCTAATAATGCTGGCGGACCCCAAACACCATCGCCGGAGACGTCGATTCCGACTCCGACTCCGGTCCAGGGCGACTCGAAGCCCTTTTTGGCGACATCAACCTCGCCTCAAAATTGGTCTTGCGACCAAACCCCCGTTCACCTTCAACGGCGACCGGAAACGCGGCCGCGTTCCTCTACGCGGTCCGCACCTACGCCCGCCTTGCCCCTGAGGCCTTCGTGGTCAACGGAGAGGCGAGTGAGGAAAAGGCCGTCCGCTATGCCATGTCGTTTATGGCAGAAGGACCCGCTCAGCAATGGGCGGAGCGCCACGGAAGCAAAGCCCCGTTTCCGTTTCCGTCCTGGGGCTCGTTCGTTTCCGAGTTTCGACTCCGGTTCGTCGAGGAGAACGAGCAAGATCATGCTCTCTCCAAACTGGAGACTTCCGCCTATCACATGGGCACAAAGGATGTCTACCAGTACCCGACGACCGAGGACCTGATGGACCTCGCCGGATTCAAGACGCGTTGGTCAAGGTGACCAA